TTTGTCCCCCTTTCACCCCATCCTGAAGCATCTTTATCATTGTTGACCAGGACACAGAGAGACATAGAAGGAGCCAGATGTAGCTGTGGGAGCTGCTTCCTGGCTGATGGGTTGCAAATTGTTTATTAAGCACCATCCAAATTGATTTTCAACTTGTCAGGGTCAGGGCTGTAGTGGTGAGGGGCATACAGGGGTCAGGGATGAGGTTCAGAAAGGTGGCTGAAGGGACAGACAAGGCAAGCGATGTGAGCAACAGGAAGTATGGCCTTGGAAGCTGGGTGGAGGTGGGCAGATGGAACAGTCAGTGGGCCTGGGTGGGGCTATTGTGTTTGTCCATGCTCTCAGTGTACACACACACACACACACACACACACACACACACACACACACACACATCCTAAGACACAGTTACCAAGGCTGAGATCTAAGCAGTCTCTCGGCCTCTTCTAGCTCTGCTGGGAGAGTGGCCCACACATCTCAGCCCACATTGGTGCAGAGAAAGTGACATTCGGCCTTGGATGCACCACCCCAGGCCCCCTACTTCCACAGTAGCATACTGTCACCCATCACTTTCTCTGCTCTACACACATCACTTGAGTCTACTCAGTCCTCCCAATAGCCACAGCAGGCAGGATGTTATTGTGCCCATTTTACAGATGTGAAAACTGATCTCACAAAGTACATGAATCCAACATCTGTTTAAGCATTTGTAGTTGACAGATCGTGATGATCTGCCAAATAAGTAGGCATCCAGAGCTGACTCTGCTAGAGTCTTGGTCCTGCAAGACTTGGTCCAGGAAAGCAAAAGAGACTCACTGAATACATGGCTATGGTTAAGGAAATAATTACAAGACCAAAAAGGGTTGGCACTCCTGTAACCCCAGCTACTCAGGAGGGTAAGGCAGGAGGATGGAGTGAATTGGCGAACAGCCTGGGTTATAAGTTTAAAACTCTATCTGAAACATAAAATAAAAATAAAGCATCTGTAGTCAAGCATTTGCCTAGCAAGCACAAGTTCCTGGGCTTGATCCTCAGTAAGGAAAAGAAGAAAACTGGGGAGGAGCTGTATCTGGTCCCAGGATGAGACAAAGAGCATACTCAGAGACTTAAGTGCAGCCTTGGAGGAGGGAAAGAAGGAGGAGCAACCGGAAGGAGAAAGAATTGGCCGGAAGTACAGCAAGAGAAATCTCCCTGAGAAGGGAGGCTGTGGGGAGAAAGATACTGGCTTATCTTGGGCATGTGTTTAGGGAAAGAGAGAAAGGCCTCAGACAGGCAAGGACCAGAGTAGTTTGTCCTTTTGGAACAATGTTACAGATTTCAGAACTTTCTCATACAGATTTCAGTTCTCTTTCTTCCTTTCTTTCTATGTATGCTGGTACTAGGACTTGAACTCAGAGCCTGGGCATTATCCCTTTGCTTCTTTTGTTCAAGGCTGGCACTCTACCACTTGAACCACAGCTCCACTTGCAGCTTTTTGCTGGAGATAAGAGATAAGAATCTCATGGACTTTCCTGCCTGGGGCTGGCTTGGAACCATGATCCTCACATCTCAGTCTCTTGAGTAGCTAGGATTGTAGTATTTTAAGTGCAATAGAGAACTATTGCTAGAGAAACTACATCCAGTGAGAAGAATTCCTCCCTCAGGGCATCCTGACTTCCAAGTTTGGAGGATGCTTTACTGCACCTCCTGGAGACGGACAGATCTTTGCAACCCACCATAGAGTTCAAGCTCTTGGGGTTCAAGGATTCTCTCACCTCAGTAGTTCAGCTCAGGGTTCTATTCTCATCCTGGTATCAGCATGGGACCTGATGCTGAACTGAACAGAGTTTAAAGGCAAAAAGAAAGAAAAGTCGGAAGAAGAAGAAGGAGAAAGGGGAGGAGAAGTGAAAGAAAGAAAGAGAGGGAGGAAAGAAGGAAGGAAGAAAGGAAGGAAAAGATGGAAAAAAGAAGAGAAAGAGGAGAAGACAGAGGAGGAGGAGAAGGCAAAGGCAGAGGTAAAAAAAGAGGAAGGAGGGGAAGAAGAGAAGGAGGGGGAGGAGGAGAGGAGGAAAAAGAAACACCCACATTTGGTGACTTTGAACCAGTGGACCCCATGTTTGCAAAGCTCATCTTCCACATGTGTGGAATGGGAATAAATTGGTACCTGTTGTGGGGTGGGAGGGGCATCATGCGCCTTCGCAAACACAAAGGATCATGGTGTTGGGGTCTGAGGTTTTGTGGATGATGAGTGAGGCAGCGGGGAGTGGTTAGGCCAGTTAGAGTGTGTGGGTGTGAGCATGTGTACTTGATTCCTGTCCATTGGATTGCCTATGCCAGGTTTAAGTAAATTGCCTGGGCAACAATGACAGGCTTTTGGTTATAGTGGGTCTCTCTGAAACTTGTGGGCTGCTAGAAACCTTCCTTGCTTTGCTTGGATTGAATTTGAGCTCCTACCCCCACCCTCCAAGAAGCAGCTGATGCTGTGTGACAACCCCAGGTAGCTTCATGTAAGAGCAGGTGGCTCATGCCTGTCATCCTAGCTACTCAGGAAGCTGAGATCTGAGGATCGCAGTTCAAAGCCAGTCTGGGCAGGAAAATCTGTGAGACTCTTATCTCCAATGAACCACCAGAAAACTGGAAGTGGTGCTATGGCTCAAGTGGTAGAGTGCTAGCCTTGAGCTGAAGAGCTGAGGGACAGAGTCCAGGCCCAAGTTCAATCCCCACAACCGACAAAAAAAAAAAAAAAAAAGAGAGAGTGAGATCTTTGAACATCAAGAAATGAAATCTAAAGCTGTGGCCTACCTCCCTCTGGGAATCACGGCTGGCTGTGTAAATAATTCTAGAAGGAGGAAATCCTCCCACCTGCAGCCGATCTCCAACAAAGGGAAGCTACTCTCACAGTTGGAGTAGACCTTGTTCTAGAAATAGTAGAAGAAAGAGATTCATCAGGTTGGGAAAGGAGTAAGGTAAAGTATCAGTTTGCAAGAGAAGCTGAATAGCTTCCTTTGACTAGAGTAGGTACCGAAAATTTTCAAGAGACTTAGGAAGCTTGGTACATTTTTAAGATGTTTTCACAGCTGACAATTTGTCTCTTGGAACGGGGACATGCAGTAAAGATGTAATCTCTATGGTTTGAGATTTATCATTTGAGGCATATGATGCCAAGAACTGTTATTTTAGAGTGTTCCCTTAAGCAACATTGAATTTGCTTTGAAATTTAGTCTTTGCCCCAACAGGAATAAAAAAAACCAAACCAAACAAACAAAAACAAAACCAAACCTTTAAATCCTGCCCTTCTCAAGTGTGATGTTATCTAAACAAAACTGGCAGAAGTTGAACTAAGATTTACTTTCTTTCATAGCTACAGTATGCAGCTATAAATGATAGGTAATAGTTTTTAAAAGTGGCTACAACCACAGGCCAACAGTTAAAGATAAGAACTATGCCATTCAACTAGAAGAGAGCGATTTGGTTGGTTTTTGGGTTTTTTGTTCCCCCCACCCCAAATCCTGACACTTGTCATATTGGAAAGATGGCCTAGTTGGTATAGAATCTAATAAATTTCTAGAAAGTTTACCTTTGTTTAGATCATGAGCTCCTATGTGACTGCTGTACGTGAATTCATAGCTCTTTTGGAGCATATTTGGAAGCTCTGATTTCAAAATTTCAATGTCCTGCCAAGTTAACACTACTCTGTAGAGATGAACTTTTGAGTTACTGGGTAAAAGAAAAAAAAATATTTTCCATGAAGTCATGTGCAATATGTTTTGTTGAGAATTCTTTGGGATGAAAGGTTTAGTTGCAATTTGTAGAAGTGGGGGCAGGAGAGGGGGTCAGAGGGCTCCCTACCATGTGCCTGACAGCAGGACATAGACTAGAACTATTATCACACCCCACCCCACTGCAAAAGGTTCTGAGATAAGAGAGTTGGGGGGGGGGCGGGTAAAGGGTGTGAGTGTGTGTGTGTGTGTATATGTGTGTGGTGGAGGTCATGGGGCTTGAACTCAGGGCCTGGGTGCTGTCCCTTAGCTGTTTCCCTCAAGGCTGGAGCTTCACCACCTGAGCCACAGCTACACTTCTGGCTTTTAATTGATTAATTGGAGATAAGTCTCAGGGACTTTCCTGCTTGGGCTGGCTTTGAACCACAATCCTCAGCTCTCAGCACCTGGGATTATAGTCATGAACATCAACCAGTGCCTGACTGAAGAATCTTTTTAAAAAACCTAGTAGGTTGGAAATGTGGCTTAGTGGTAGTGTTTGCCTAGCATGCATGAAGCCCTGGGTTTGATTCCTCAGTACCATATAAACAGAAAAAGCCGGAGGTGGCACTGTGGCTCAAATGGTAGAGCCGTAGCCTTGAGCACAGAGTGGCTCTAAGACAGTGCCCAGGCCCTGAGTTCAAGCTCCAGGACTGGCAAAAAAAAAAAAAAAATGAACAAACAACAACAACAAAACTAGTAAACTGCTTGGCACAGAACCCATTCGAGAAAATGATTTACATGGGGTAAGAGTACGGTCCAACAGAAATCAAGTAGGGTTGGATTTGAATCTAGGACCACAGCCTCTGAACAAGTCTTCTTACCTCCAAATCTCCATTTACCCAACTGTAATAAGGGGAGAATGAAAATTCCTGAGGTTTGTTGGAAGGTCCAAGGATCTACCTACCACTGCACAGGAGGACCAGGAGAACACACACAAGTTGTTGATTTAAAAACTTTAATTTTAAGGAGTCTTTAACTCCCATTTTCGGCTTTTCGCGCAGGAAATGTCTTTCTTTCCCTAACTCTCCCTAATTTAACCCTGACATACTAAAATAAACCCTTGCTTAAAAGAAAACACCCTTAATTTCAAAATACGATGCTGCTTTTTGTATTGACCAGAGGAAACACAGGCTGCCGAGCTCCCAAGAGAAGGTCATTTCAATCCCGGGCCAAGGGGGCGGGGTCCGAAGGGGGCGTGTCTATCCTGGCCACGCCCCCTGTGCTGGTGGGCGGGGACGCTGGGCTGCCCCAGTGCGCGCGCGCGCACCCGCGCACGACGGCCGTCAGGTACGCGGACAAGATGGCGGCGGCAGCGGGCGACAGCGCGATGGAGGTGGTGCCGGCGCTGGCGGAGGAGGCCGCGCCCGAGGTGGCGGGCCTCAGCTGCCTGGTGCACCTGCCGGGAGAGGTGCTGGAGTACATCCTGTGCAGCGGCTCGCTGACGGCGCTCGACATCGGCCGCGTGTCCAGCACCTGCCGGCGGCTGCGCGAGGTGTGCCAGAGCAGCGGCAAGGTGTGGAAGGAGCAGTTCCGGGTGAGGTGAGCCCGCGGCCCCCCGCGCGCGGCGCCGGGCCCCGCGGCCCGCCGGGCCCCCCCGGAGGGCGGCCGGCCCCGCGGCCCCCGCGGCGCCCCGCGCGCCGGCCGCGCCCGCACCCCTGCCCGCGGCGGCCCGCAGACAAAGGCCCGAGGCCGCCGGCGGCCCTGGGCCCCGGAGGCGGCGGAGGCCCCGCGCGGGGCCCGGCGCGGGGCTCGGCGCGGATCCCGGCCTGCCGCCCACCGCACGGCCGCCGCTTGCTTTTGTGCGTTCCCCCCCCCCCCCCCCCCCGCTCGCGGCCCGGGGCTGTTTACCGGGAGCCCGCGATGGCGGGGCGCCCGCGGGCGCAGCATCCTCGGGCCGGGCGGGCGGGAGGAGGGCCGTGGGCTGCACGTTTCGGTTACTCCCTCTGTGACCTTGGCAAGGGAGGGTGTGGGCTTCGCTCCCTCCCGCTGTCTCTTTTGGTCAGTTTCTGGCTTTATCCCATGAATCGACTTGGATGAATGGTGATCGTGAGACTTAGCTTGTATTTTATTTATTTATTTTTAATCGTGGTATGAATAAAAGAGGTGATGCCCAGCGCCTCGGAAGCGCGCGCCACCGAGGTGAGCTGTTACTATTGTCACCGTTATTAGGGTTGTTGGTAGGACTGCCCTCGTTTTAGAGATGGGGGAAGAGGGAGACACAGCCTTCGTGTCGCCACGCCAAGGTCACTTGACAACACCCGAGTTTGGAGATCTGAAGGGAACCGTGCTCAGGCCCCTTTTCCCACCAGGCCATCATGTTTTTGTTGCTGCTGCTGCTGCTGTTGTAGTCGTCGTTGTTTTGGTTTTTTTGCGTAAATGATAAGCAGAGGAGCTGTTTTCTCTTGTAGGTGGCCTTCCCTTATGAAACACTACAGCCCCACCGACTACGTCAATTGGTTGGAAGAATATAAAGTTCGACAGAAAGCTGGGTTAGAAGCCCGGAAGATTGTAGCCTCGTTCTCGAAGAGGTTCTTTTCAGAGCATGTAAGGATTTGTGGATGGAGCTCTTTGCTTTTTGCCTGATTGTGGTGTGTGAGTGTGTATGTGTGTGTGTGTGTGTGTAGGCATTAGCTCATCCAGCTCTGGTTACTATCTCCCTTTTCATTGCTCACACAATCCCTTACTCACTTAGATGGCTGCGAGAGGCATTGTGTCCTTTCCCTCCCATCCAGCAACACGGAGCCACTTGTCCCTGCCAGCTTTACTTTTCTAAAGCCAGAGAGAATGGGGGTGGAGGGAGAAGGGAGGGTCATACTGCACCCGGAGGAATGAATCCAGATAAGCAGTATTCTATTCTAGTGGTTAAACTTTGTTGTTGTTGTTGTGTTTTTTTTGGCAACCTTCATGTGATCTGAGGAATCATCAATGATGGGGCATTGTAAATCTCTCGCAGTTGTTTTCCCAGAATGGTTGGTGAAATGAATGTGGTCTGTTCTTCCCTCTGCTTTGCAGGTTCTCTCCAGTAGTGAACTGCATTATTTAAGGTAACAGAGGGTTAAGGGGCTACCTGTAAATCAGAATTATTGCTCTCTCAAATAAAATTGTCTTACATCTTGGGTTCATTCCTCTTCATTGTCCCTGAAAGTTGTTTGTTGCGTGTTTTGTTTGGGAATTTTTGTTTCTGAGGGATTTTTCTTTTTTTGGTGGTTGTTATTTTGAGATCAAGTCTCACTGTGTAGTCCAGACTTTCCTTGAACTTGTGATCCTTCTGCCTCAGCCACGCAAGTGCTGAGATTACAGGTATACATCACCATGCCTGGCTTTCAGTTTTGCTTTTTAAAAAAATAATGATGATGTGTGTGTTTTATTTCTGATTGAGGGTCAGCAAATAGAGTTGATCCCCACCCCCCAACCCCCCCCCTCCATCCTGAGGCTTGAACGCTGGGCCTGGGCACTGTCCCTGGGCTCCTTTTGCTCAAGGCTAGGGCTATACCACTTGAACCACAACTCCTTCCCGCTTTTTCTGTGATTAATTGGAATTCAGAGTTTCATAGACTTCCTGGCTGGCTTTGAACTGCGATCCTCAGATCTCAGCCTCCTGAGTAGCTAGGATTACAGGTGTGAGTCACGAGCACCTGGCTAGAGTTGATCTTATTCTATTTTGGTTTTTTGGAGTATACTTGTGGTTACTTCTGACTTTCTAATTTTGACTGCTGTTAGGTAATAGAGCGTATAAATTTAAAATACTTTCAAGCTGGCTCACAGCTGTAATCCTAACTACCTGGGAGGCTGAGATCAGGAGGAAGATTGTGGTTGCAGGCCAGCCTGGGTGTAAAAGTTCTTGAAAATGGGCTGGGAAGGTGGCTCAGTGGTAGAGTGCTTGCCTTGCATGCACGAGGCCCTGGGTTCGATTCTTCAGTACCACATAAGCAGAAATGGCCAGAAGTGGCGCTCTAGCTCAAGTGGTAGAACACTAGCCTTGAGTTAAAAGCTGAGGAACAGTGCCCAGGTCCAGAGTTAGGCCCCACAGCCAACAACAACAACAAAAATTGTTGAAAACCCATCTCAACGGAAAAAGCTATATGTAATGGTTCATGCCTCTCACTTAGCTATCCACAAAAGTGCAAGTAGGAAGACACCAGTCCAGTCTGGTCTGGACAAAAGGCAAGACCTTAGCTCAAAAAATAACCAGAGCAAATAGGGTTGTAGGTGTAGCTCAAATGGTAGAACACATACCTAATAAATGCAAGGTTCGTAGTTCAAAACTCAGTGCTATAACCGGGCACCTGTGGCTCACGCCTATAATCCTAGCTACTCAAGAGGTTGAGATCTGAGGATCGAGGTTCAAAGCCAGCCTGGGCAGGAAAGTCCGTGAGACTCTTATCTCCAATAAATCACTAGAAAACCGGAAGTGGTGCTGTGGCTTAAGCGGTAGAGCACTCGCCTTGAGCTGAAGAGCTCAGGGACAGCACCCAAGCTCAAAGTTCAAGCCCCACAACCAACCAAAAAAATAAAACCCAGTGCTTAAAAAAAAAAAGAAAAAAGATGTTTCAAAGGTTAAGAAAGAGAAAATTTGGACTTTGGACAAGTTTGAACTCATTCCCCTGGGAGGAATAAGAACAGATATTCCCTGAGTACAATGATTTATATAAGTGTTTATTAATATGAGAAAGAGCACAGTGTTCCGCTTTACAGAAACCATGTCCTGGCTAAACCACAGTTGAGTGGCTAGTTTTAAGTGTGTTTTGCACCCACAGGTGTTTAGGTATTCTGCTGCTAGGCTTCTGATGCAGTCTAGTGATAGTCTACTAGTTTACAAACTCTGCTTCTAATCCAGCTGGATTTCTGTGCATTTTTAACCATCTGTGTCTTTATCTAACAATGATGGATTGTTGTGCCTTTTTTTTTCCTCCTCTTTCCCCTAACCACTACTTAATTAGAAATGTGTCAAGGACTTTGAATGCTACAGAAACATACTTAAGATTGCTCTCTGGGTAGGTGATTGTGGTGGCTCAAGATCCATGTCTTCCTGTGCTCTGGGCATGCACACAGGTTAGCATGAGACATTGTAGCTCCTTTCACCATAGCAAATGGGGAAAGTCATAGCTTTAACTGAGAGCATGGCCAAGCCCACCCAGCGGGTTGGAGGGGACCTCCCGCTCTGAGCATCCTTAGTGTTTGGCTCTACTCCTAGTGTGCACAACACAGATTGCCTGGGCTTTCTTTCTTTTTTTTTTTTTCCGTTTCTGGGCCTGGGCGCTGTCCCACTTGAGCCACAGCGCCATTTCCGGCTTTTTTCTTTTTGCTTATGTGGTGCTGAGGAATCGAACCCAGGGCCTCAGGCATGCAAGGCAAGCACTCTACTACTGAGCCACCTTCCCAGCCCTTGCCTGGGCTTTCTGTTGTGAGCTGGGGGAGATGGCGGTCTTGACCTCATTTAGGAGCTGTGTTTCTTCATATCCCACTTCTGAATGGTCTGTTTCAGAAATTCTAGCATTTGAAAACTGATCTATAGGTAATCCAGTAACGGGCCCATGGTCTCATTCTCCACGTCACTTCCTCCCTCCCTCAGCAGGAAAAGTGTGGGGGTAGGGGGAGGGACCTAGAGCCCTGTCCAGGGAAGGAAAGATTCCTAATTCTGCTTTTCTTTCACTTATAGGTTCCTTGTAATGGCTTCAGTGATATTGAAAACCTCGAGGGACCAGAGATCTTTTTTGAGGATGAGCTGGTGTGCATCCTAAATATGGAAGGCAGGTAAGCCACAACTTACACAGGATTTGGATTTACTGATAGAAATAACCTCAGAGAGGGCTGGGAAGGTGGCTCAGTGGTAGAACGCTTGCCTTGCATGCATGAGGCCCTGGGTTCGATTCCTCAGCACCACATAAGCAAAAAGAAAAAAGCCGGAAGTGGCGCTGTGGCTCAAGTGGTAGCGTGCTAGCCTTGAGGTAAAGAGCAGAAGGACAGCGCCCAGGCACAGAGTTCAGGCCCCATGACCGGACTCAAAAAAACAACAACAACAAAAAAGAAATAACCTCAGAGAAAACTGCTGTGGTCCATTGTGACTGAGGCCTGGTTCCAGATCTTGCATATTATGCTGCAGCCAGTTTGTTATGAAGACAGTTCCAATATGGTTGGCCATCTGCAGCCATGAGCCCAGCTCCGCATCCACAATCACAAATATTTGGAAAAAACACTGTGTGCACTGAACTATACAGATTTGTTTTTCTTGTTATCATTCCCTAAATTGTAAAATTATTTGCATTATATGTGGTATTAGAAGTCTTTATAGAGATGGTTTGAAGTGTATGGGAGGATGGGCAGAGTTTCTGCAGTATGTAGCACTGTGCCTTTTTAGATGAGGCGCTTGAGTGTGTGTATTAGAGTATCTGAGAGGGACTTATAACCAGTCCCCACAGGTACTGAAGAATGATTGTAGAGAAACTATGAAAACTGTGTGGGGAGAAAGAGAGAATTCCTGTGGAGCACCAACAGAGCACAGGCTCAGTGCTCTGGGCAGCCTCTATGCTCTGGGCAGCCTCTGTACTGTCAGTGATCCAGCCTTTTTGCCACCTCTCTTCTGCCACTCCCAGATCCACCTGCCTTCAATTAATCTTTTTTGAAAATCTCTTTTAAGTGAGTCTTAATTTAGGGGGTGATTTTGCAGTTCTTGAAGTTCATGTGAAACAGTCCCCTACCTTGATCTTAACCACTGTAGCTGTGTGCTGAGCCTCCAGGAGAGACTGCAGTACTCCATTATCTCTAGGTGGTTATTTAGAATGTTTGCTTTGTTTTTATAATGGCATACATTAGCTATACAAGGATTTTTTCATGGTGACATTCCCACACATGTATAATGTGTTTTAAACACACCACTACTACCAGTAACTGACTCTCCCTTGCCCTTTCCCCTTCCTAATACAATTTCAACAACTTCCATCATTCTATTTGAATAATACATGATGACAAGTTAGACCCCCTCCTGCTAGTACCTACCCTAAAATGTTTTATACTTTACAACTGAACTTTACTTTCCAGGAACCTGCGAGATGACTTGGCTGTCAGCCATACTTGCCTGGTGAAAAGGTTTTCTGTTCTGAAAGTTCACATAACTTTACTAGTGGTAGAGAAGAAAGCTAGTGCAAGGTCTTCTCTAAGTTACTGTGAACTGTCTCACAACAAGGTGTAAGGTATATTGTGGCTGTTTCTTAGGGGATGTAGGAGAGGTACATGTCTGTCACTGGAGCCACAGGGGAGAGGGAAGAGTCTGTTCTAGGCCTTGGAGGAGTGCAGGTGGAGGTCATTTTCCTGTTTCTATTTTGGGTGATCTATAACTGAATTGGAGTGTGATCTAATAGCACTGTGCAACCTTAAAAGCAAATCCTACTTGTGGTTTATTCATGTGCATCTCTGCCTTCCACCCAGACCAGCACATGTCTGTGCTGGTTGCCTCAGTTTGATGCTTCATGTAGGTACCTTGTTTTCACATTTGCTTTAAAATGGCCCACCCAGCGTCATCCTCTAATTTCTGGTATGGCATCTGCTCTGTGCAGCCAGTAGACAGCCATGTGGAGAGGGGAAGGAGTTGCAGATTCTCACAAAATCGGGACCCCACAGTGACTGGTTCTCTGTTTGGGTTTTCTCACCCAACAGTTCCTTGGGGAGGTCGTTCCTGATCACCTGGTAAGAGATAGAATTCACTTTGGGGAATGGCTGGCCACTTTTTTGTAGGATAGATCATAGGTTTTTTTGTTGTTTTTAGGGGAGTTATTTGCTTTTTTTTCTGTGGTGGGGTTTTTTTTTTTGGCACTGGGTCTTGAACTCAAGGCCTGGGTATTGCCCCTTATTTTTACCCAAGGCTGGTACTCTACCACGTGAGCCACAGCTCCATTTCTAGTTTTTTGAAAGTAGTAAGAATAGATTCACAAGAATCTATTCTTGTGATTCAAAAAAAAATACATAATTATATTCTAAGACTACTTTCAACTCAGTGTTTAAAGTAGGTAAAATGTGGTCAGCACTAGGAAAAGTCAGTTTAGAAACATCCCAGAATAACAGGTAGTTATTTAAACTCTAAATGAGTTAGTTTTTAAACTCTAAAGGGAAAAGATAAATTGATTAATGAATAGCATTCCATGTGACTAGAAAGTAAAACTTGGATGGTACACATGTATACACAAAAATGCCAAAAGATGAAACAGGTGATATTTAAAATGATGACAAGAAAAATTCTGCAAGGAAATAGAAAACTTAAAATGACCTCTGTAGCCATGGTTGGTAAGGGAAGCCGCAGAAATACAGATGAATCTTTTGTGGATGTGGTGTGGATGTACACACGCCAGTCCTGGGGCTTGAACTTAGGGTCTGGGCTCTCTTCTTGAGTTTCTTTTAATCAAGGCTGGTGCTCTGACCGTTGAGCCACAGCTTCACTTGAGGCTTTTTCGGTAGTTTTATGGAGATAAGAGTCTTGTTTGTGGCCTTTCCTGCCTGGGCTGACTTTGAACTGTAGTCCTCAGATCTCAGCCTCCAAGTAGGTAGGATTGTAAGCGTGAACAATCAGCACCAGATTCAGACAGGGATCTTTGATGACAAAGAAACTTCGGTGTGAGTGAAGACGTCATAAACTAAGGCAAGGCTGTTCTTAGGATTGTCATCAACAAATGTAGTGAAAAATGCTTTGACTTCACTATTCAAATAACTTAAATAACAATGCAATGATGCCTTTTACTTAACAAAGAATCATGTAGCCAGTAGCAACATGTAAGGTTATTCCTTTAGAAGAACTATCACACGTTATCCCTGGCCTGACATACATGAAGTGTAAACTGGCTGTTCTGCAACAGCAGGGTACTCCACACGCAAGTATGTTGGGCCTTCACTTTTCACCAAGGACCCTGTTTGTGTTCATTCCTGACAGTGCTTGTTTGCTTACAGAAAGAACAGAGTGGGAGAGTGTGATGTAGTAGCCACAACCCTGAATATCTAAAGATAATTTGCATTTATGTCCTGTAGTTGTGTTTTCATTTTTGTTTTGGGTTTTAAGATGGTATCCCCCTGTGGAGGCCAGACTGGCCTCCAACTTATGCTCCTCCTGCCTCAGCCTTCTGAGTATGGTATTTTAGGCATGTGCCACTGTGCCCAGCAAGATTTGAAACAAGTTAAATGAGCATAGATCATACCTGAGAAAATTGACCCAGAATAACCAACAGGGATATACATTAGTAAAAAATCACTGGATTTTAAAGATGGGAAAATCTTGTGGGAACTTCAGCAACAAAGATGAAAGTAACTTATAAAGAAAAGGAAATGAGAATCTATCGTCAGACTTTTCAGCAGCAATGGTGTGTGCCAGAAGGAAAAAAAGATACTCAAAAGATTGAAAGAAAATGTCAGCCAAGGATTTTTATATCCAGCCAAACTGACTTCCACATCTACAATCTTAACAACTTGAAAGACTGTAGAGACCTGTGCTCCTCTCCCTAGATCTGCTGAGAGATGAGAAAACCACCGACTGCTGGTGATAAATGGGCCCTGTCTTGTAGACTTAAGTCCAAGTGAGAAGCATGAGCTGTCTCACATGTGGACTCATACCTGAGCCCTGTCAGAGAAGAGCATGGGAAATACTGTTTTCATGCAACTTGTCATTACCGGGGCCGATGGGAATCCTTGGAGTATTTGTATTTAAATGTACCAAGGGTATGTGCTTACACAGGTGTACAGCCAATAGACTAAGGTCTGGGCCGTCATAAGCAGGTAGAGGTGATCTTCCCAGCAGCCAGGGTGTGATCTTAGATGCCACTCCTACAGAAAGAAGTCAGAGGCTGTTAAGAAATGGCTGCTGCTACATCCAGCCTGGGAAACCCTTGGAACATCTGGGCATCCTGGAGTCAGATAGCAAGACACCTGACGGCACTTCATATCAGAAGCATTTAGGTCAGCTGTGAAGAGTTGGAAGATGTGCAGGGTAGAGCATCAGTGTGAATGGGAGTGGCATGAATGGACCCCACCAGATAGGTCTAGCACCATGGTTCATAGCAGTATTTGCACACAGTAGTACTTGGTAGTATACTCGGGAGTAGAATAGAAACTCAAGTCATTATTTTGAAAAATAATAAGAGGAACAATATGAACACAGATATGAATAAGGCTGGTTCACTTGTAGTTTCTGTCTTACCACCAGCTTACTGCCTCTAAGGAATCGACAGGTGGATGTGAGTCAGAATGGCTGCTAACATCACAGAAAAGACAGGCATTAATAGTCTTATTATTTTGTGGTGCTAACGATCAAACCCAGAGCTCATTCTACCACTAATCTGTCCCTGTCTCCTTGTTACTGCTTCTTGATGGAAGACCTTTCCACCTCCTGGGAAGGCATCTGGCCAAGTAACACATCTGATCAGACTGAATCCCTCTGTCTAGTTTCCAATAGAAGATGTTCAGAATAATACATTAAACATGTGGGTACAGCCAGGAAATTCCAGACCACCAGAAGCTACAGTTCACACAGTCTGGTTTTCTTCAACAAATACAAAAATACAAAAGAGTCAAAGGGATGGAAGTGTGGCTCAAATGGTAGAGCACCTGCCTAGCAAGCTTGAGAGTCTTAAGAATTCAAATACTGCAATACCAAAAGGTAAATAGAGATGTTGTGTCAGACTAGAATATTTAGGGATGCACATTTGGCAGTTATCTCTAGAGCACAGCCAGGAAGCGATAAGCTGCAGTGCAGGGTGTTTCAGGAGAGGGGCCTATGGAGGGCTTACGGAGCGTGCGGAGTTCTGCCTGGCTTGGTGAATATAGGAGTATTTGTGAAGCTGCTTGATTGTTCCATGTGTTCATTCCTGAGGTGCATTTTGCAACTCTAGGGTTAAAGAGCAGGTAGAGCAGGCACCTCTGCTGATGGCACTGCATCCCTGAAGATGGGTGAAAGGAAGCTTGTCCCTGACTCCCACTTTCTATGATCCCTGGGCATTGGAGTGATCTGGTGAGGAGCTTCAGGCAGCATCTGCTCTCCATCAGACACAGCTGTAGACAATGGGGAGATGGCAGCAAGCACCCCTCAGCACCCTGCCTTCTTGGAGCTTGCAATGCAGTGGGAGAGACAGTGCTGAAAAGCAAGTTATTTATTACATTAGAAAAGGAAAAGTGCTATGCGGCAGTGCTAGGCAGGGAACAGGGTGAGGGCACTACATGAGAAAGGAGGTGAGCACAGGCTGCAGCCAGCCAGAGGCATAGTCTGGGCAGATGAACACAGCCCACCGCTGAAGGAGCAACTGCACTAGGACCACCAGGAGCTGCAGTGAGTAGGGATGTCTGGAATTGATGGAGTGCTGAGGCGGAGCAGTACTGGAGAATCTGGTCTTGCCTCTGGTGAGCTGCTGAGCACCATGGAGCAGAAGCACAATGCCTGCCATATTGCAGCTACTCTGGAAAAGGGCTGGGTTGGGTTCAAGGAGTGGTCCATGGTGGCTGTGGGCCATAGTGGGATGTGCAGTAGCAGTTGGCTGTGTGGGGCTGAGTTCTGGGGAAAACTCTTAGTCAGGTAAATGGTCAGAATGGGAAATATTTGACCTCCCAAAGTTGAAAGAACCCGCCGTGGCCACAGGCATAGAAGGGGAACGTGGTGTGAGTTATGGTAGCTGCAGCATTCCCTCTGCCAGACCTGTGGGAAGTAGACCTGAAGCTGACCAGAACTGGTCCACCGCCTTTAACACAATCAGTCACCATCCCCTGCAGGTGCAAGTCCTAAACGGAGCTGGCTATTTCCATGCCACTAAGGATTACAGGAATGTGAAGCAATTCTGGTTGTCCTGTTAAGATCTTGATATGATAGTATGAAGTCAAAACTAGGCAATTGAAATTCTTACTGACTTGTTTGTTGTTGTTTCGCAGAAAAGCTTTGACCTGGAAATACTATGCCAAAAAAATTCTTTACTACCTACGGCAACAGAAAATTTTAAATAATCTCAAGGCTTTTCTTCAGCAGCCTGATGACTATGAATCCTATCTTGAAGGTGGGTCTCTGGGTGCTTGTGGACGAGGGTGTGAGCTTTGTGGAAGCGCGGATGTGGGAGCTGCCTGGGGCAGTGTGGAGGAGGATAGGGGTTGAATTTGTGGTCTGACCAGTGAATGAGGCTGCACTGCAGATGAGAGCTAAGGGTCTTTTTGACGTGTTTCAAAGTCAGCTAAAGAGACAGTGTTTTCTAACGACGCGTCATTGATTATGAGTGACATGTTGCCTAATGAGGTGAGTTCCTTCTTCTAAGCTTGGAAACATGGTTTCCAGATCAGCGATGGATGGGTCCCTGTGTCTGTAAGCTAGAGCACGTGTCAGCCTCTGGTCAGAGGTTAATGGGGACGGGCTGTTCTGTGCTCCAAGAGCAGGAAGGAGCTGGGTGGGCAGGCATGCGGAGGAGCCACTTCATGTTCCTGCAAGGTTGAGCAGGAACACATTGTGACTTGAGTTTTCCAACAGCCTTGATTCCTGGAATATTATACAAGTTGTGGTTATGAAGTCCACACTCACTTTCCCCCCCTGCTCTCAGTGAGTCACCCTGTTTGTGGAGTTTTCCTTTTCTGCCATTTTCAGTTGTATCTCCAGCCTGTTGTGCTCTCCCCGGCAGCTTTCTCAGGAACCTGGCTCTTCTGCCTGCCAGTCAGCCAGCATGCCCCAGCAGCCCAAAGCAAACCCTGTGTGGCTGTAGTCTGCTTTTCAGCACCCCTTACAATCAGTCGTCCCCTAATGCCACACTTGCAGTGCCCTGCTGCTGCTCCAGCCAAGGGCCCTGCAGAGACCCTGGGCTCCTCGCTGGCATTGCCCTGCCTCCCTGCCACTGCAGCTCAGCTCTCACTGGCCTCGGCTACTGATGTCAGCTGGCTCGCATCCTTTCTGTTTCAGCTGTGTACGTTGTGCTTTTGACCTTTGAGACAGAGTCTAGGCTAGCCTTGAACTCTCAGTCCTACCTCTGTCTCCCAAATGCTGTGATGCCAGATAATGTTCTAGTATGTCTAGCCCCTTATATTGAGTTTTTTGCTTCTTTGTTTTTTCCTATTGGTCCTGAGGCTTGAACGCTGCCTGGGAGCTATCACTGAACTTTTTTGCTCAAGGCCAGCGCTCTACCACTTGAGACACAGGTTTCTGAGTGATTAATTTCTTGTGTTCTAGATCCTTAAGATCTCTGTGTACCCCACAATGCCTGTTTTAGGTTATGGTTGATTGTAGAAAAGTCTAGTATCATCCAAAAGAAAATGAGAAATCTTGTCATAATCAACTAAAGTGAAGTATCCTCATCACCTTGGGTTTTTCCACACACGCGCTGGGGTTGAGATCCTGTTGGAATTGCTCATGCCGGCCAGCACTGTAGGCCCTGGAAGCTGTGGGATTGCCAGTGATTGAAGGAGGGTTTTGACCCAGAGTGAATGACTAGAGTAAGTGCAGGTGCTCTGGGAAAAGCCTGGGAACCACAGCATTAGGAGGGGAGGGACTGCAGAGCAGTGCAGCCATGCAGGAACACCTGAACTCGGGCAGCAGACAGGGCAAGGGGGGAAGGTGGAGTTGTCTCCAAGTCCGGAAATGAAGTATGCAAGGGGCCTGTCTATCACTGAACATTTTCATATCCTGTGTCTTGTACTGTTAAGTTTTCCAGTTGCTGGATTGGGGACCTATAGGGGAGTTAGAAGGAGAGTCTCTTTTTCTGTTTGAAGGAAAATAAGGAGCTGCCATAGCTCATATGACCCCTTGGGAGAAGCTCAGTCTATTTATTCACTTTTTAGTGTGTATGATGTGCAAGGCCTGAGACCAACAAGGACGGCTGTCTGGTGGGATGGTGTGGAAAGCCTGACTTAGGGTGTTAGGTGGGTAGGAGAGCTGACTCTGTGGTTCTTGTTCATCTCAGGTGCCGTCTACATTGACCAGTACTGCAACCCCCTTTCCGACATCAGCCTCAGAGATATCCAGGCCCAGATCGACAGCATTGTGGAGCTGGTCTGCAAAACCCTGCGGGGTGTCAACAGCCGCCACCCTAGCCTGGCCTTCAAGGCAGGTGTGGAATTGCTTTGGACCTAGCTGTGCTTGCAGGGGAAGCCTTAGAACAATTGATGAACTTGATGATTTCAGCCATATGGCCTTACCATGTAACTCATGCCTGTGATCCTAACTACTCAAGAATCTGAGATGTGAGGATTCTGGTTCAAGACCAGTCAGGGCCTTTTGTCCAAGAGACTCCATCTCTAGTTAAGCAGCAAAAAGCAGGGCTCAGAGCTGGGATGTAGCTCAGTGGCAAAGTGCTTAAAGTGCAACATGCTGGGTTTGATCCGCAGTACCAAAAAGACAAAAAATATATATATATATATATATAGTTTAAAAAAAAAAAGCAGAGCTCAAGTGGTTGAGCACCACCAGCGTGAGCAAAACTGGACAGAGAAAAGTGATAAATGACAGCAGTCACATAAAGACTTCCACCCATCTTCTCCCTAGATTGGTTGCCTGCTGGGGGTGGTGGGGGCAGGATCATGATCTTGTTTGTGCTGTGTCCCAGGGTAGATCTCTGTGTTGCAGGTGAGTCCCCCATGATAATGGAGATAGAGCTCCAGAGCCAGGTGCTGGATGCCATGAACTATGTCCTTTATGACCAGCTGAAGTTCAAGGGGAACCGAATGGACTACTATAATGCCCTCAACTTATATATGCATCAGGCAAGTGTGGCCATAGCTTTAAGACACACATGAGTGTCTGTGGGTTCTGCTGCTTCCATTTGTTCCACCAACCCTGAATCAAAAATACATGGGAAGCCGGGCACCAGTGCTCACACCTGTCATCCTAGCTACTCAGGAGGCTGAGATCTGAGGGTCATGGTTCAAAGCCATCCCGGGCAGGAAAGTCCATGAGACTTATTTCCAATAAACAACTCAGAAAGCCGGAAGTGGTACTGTGGCTCAAGTGGTAGAGCGCTAGCCTTGACCTGATGAGCTGAGGGACAGCGCCCAGGCCCAGAGTTCAAGCCCCACGACTGACCAGAAAGAAAATTAACAATAACTGACTGTAGTGACATTTTCCCTTGCCACCTGAGTAATACAGACACTTGTGAAGTGTGTAGGTAACACTCACAACTGTAGTCCAGGGATGACGTGACTAGGGGAGGACAGTGGAGCTTATGTGCAAATGCTGTGCTATTTTATATAGGGTGCTTGGTGTCCATAGGGTCCCTGGAACCCGTCTCCCGTGGATACCAAGGGATGGGGGGGGTGTGGGGATGCACACGCACACATACTTCTAGCTCATCTATGATAAATTGCAGTTCTTGCTGACAAGTGCTGTGTTCTCCGCTCTGAATGTCTAGTAAATCACCTTTTCCTCTGTCACATGGAATTACAAGGTTTACTCTCCCTGACAAGGACTGTCCTTTATGCAAACCCTTGAGCTGAGTGCTACCAGAAGCAGACCCTGTATCCCTCGCTCCATGGTCAGTGGCTCCTGTGACCGCGGAGCCGCAGATGTGCTCAGGGTTCCTACAGCTGCCCTCCAGGGCTAGCAAACATGTAGCCACTTGGGGCTGATGTCCCTTCAGTGTTGGTTTGGATTTGTTCCTTGCCTGTCTCCATTTTCATATCTATTGTTCTTTCTGCTATTTCATTTTATTTTGTTTCTTCCATTCATTCCTTGGTAAGTTTTTTTATTCTTTTAAGGAGGCCCTAAATCAGAGGTCAGTCCTCTCCTTCTGTAGGGGACTGGGCAGTGAGTCAGTACACCTGTGCACATCCTGTGGCTGGCTTAGCTCTGAGTCCTGCCTTAACTCAAGGACATGTGACCAACAGACATAAGAGACTGCGCACCCAACAGCTTTATATGCACGTTGACGGCTGAAGTTCATCTTTTACGTCAAAACAGTGTTCTTTTGGTTGTTTTTCCAAATACTTAAAAATATAAAAACGTGCTGGCATGATGGTAGACATCTTCCAGCGGGGGTGGACGGGGGGGGGGGGCGTGGAGCGGGCAGAGGTTGAGGCAGAAGTCTCAGACAAACCTGGGCTAGATAGTAAGATCCTGTCTCACAAAAAGGAAAAACTTCTTGCTCTGGCTATACCAAAATATCTGGTAGACTGTGTGGGTAATATCTTTCTGATTCTTGATCTAAGTAAATAAATTATTCTGCTGAAGCTGCAAAAGCTAGCATTATTATAGGCTGAGGATGTAACTCAGTGGTAAAGCACTTGCCTAACCACATGCAAAGCCCTAGTTGCATCCCCAGTACTGCCAGAAAACAATTAAATGTCACATTGTACCCCATAAATACAATTTACTCTGAACCAGTTAAAAATAAAGTCGGGCACTGGTGGTGCACGTATGTAATCCTAGCTACTCTGGAGGCTGAGATCTGAGGATCGTGGTTCAAAGCCAGCCCGGACAGAAAAGTCCCTGTAGAACTCTATCTCCAATTAAACACACAAAATAGAAGTGGAACTGTGCTCAAGTGGTTAGAGTGCTGACCTTGACCAAAAAGTGCCCAGGCCCCAAGTTCAAGCCCCACAACCAACAAAAAATAAATAAGATTAAATTGCCTAGTGCTCAAGCTTGTCATCCTAGCTACTCAGAAGGCTGAGATCTAGAGGGTAGCAGTTTAAAGCCAACCCCTGGCAGAAAAGTCCAGGAGACTCTTACCTCCAAAATGAACAGCAAAAAACTGCTGGAGGTATGACTCAAGTGGTCAAGTGCCAGCTAAGCAAGTAAGTAGAGCAATGAGAGGCCCTGAGTTCAAATCCCTGAAGTACTGACTGTATGAGAAGGATGATTCCTCCTGTGACTTCTCTGCATCTTCTCATTTAGGTTTTGATTCGCAGAACAGGCATTCCAATCAGCATGTCTCTGCTTTATCTGACGATCGCACGGCAGCTGGGAGTCCCATTGGAGCCTGTCAACTTCCCAAGCCACTTCCTACTGCGGTGGTGCCAAGGCGCGGAAGGGTGAGCCACCTCTGCCATTTCAGAGCTGGTGCTAAGAGGAAGCTTGCTTTCCTTCCAACATCAAATCAGCTGGAACCAAACAGGCTAAAACCAGAACCAGGGCGCTAATGGTGTTTTGTGTATTGATATTCCGGTTGTGATATTTTATCATAAACAAGTGCTTCCAGCAGAGGAGGTTACATTAAGGCAGTTTCTTATGTGAATCTGTAAACATCACAAGAAGTTTAGTTAAGAGAAATGACTGCGACTTCAAGGTCTGGCTCTCAAGGTCCCTTTGCTCTAGAGTAGATCAGATCAAAGAGTTCCTAGACTCTTGCTTTACTTTCTTCCATAAATTCTCCTTCCTCTCCCACACACACACACACACACACACATGTCTAAGAACAAATACGGGGGCAAAACTTTTCTGCAATGTTGGTGACCAACTAATGTGAATTATAAAGACTTGCATATGGGTTCTGTTTTCTTTTTTATCATCATCATCATCTTTATCATCTTTGCAGTGCTTGGCATGGAACCCAGAGCCTGGGCACGCTAGGCAAGTGCTCTACAACAGAGCTGAGACATCTCAGTTTGGTTTTATACAGGGTCTTGGTATGTAGGTCAGGCTGGCCTTGAGCTCATGTAGCCAAGGCTGATCTCAACTCTGGATTCTCTTGCTTCCGAGTCCTAACTGCTGAAATTACAGGTGGGCACGACAGCTGGCTGTTGTCTTCTTTTAAGCCTAATGTCTTACCTGGCTAAAGGTTCCTTTTTGGCTGTAGTCTAGCTTTTCAGAAAGAAATCGATTGATAGAAATAACTTCACATTAAATTTTCCACTTAGCAGAGCAAGATGAAAAGCTTGTGTCCTCTCTCCTCTTCTTTGAAACTGCTGGCTCAGATACATTCATGCCCCATCGTGTGATAGAAAGCCCTGAAGACTGTGACCTCAGTCTCAGTGCCCTCCTGTGTAAAATGGGGCGGATGTTTTCAATGAACAGCTTGGGTGCTTACAAGAGGAGATTGCTTACTCTGCATCACTGCCTGGCAGAGTCTCACTGGTGCCTCTAAGCTTGCCTCCTCCCCTTCCTTCCCCACAGGGAATACCCAGCTAGTCTGAAAGTATTTACTTGCATGTCGATTTGTTGCTTCATTATGTGTGTGTGTGTTTCCTTAACAACTGTGTTTATACGTTCCCAAATTCATGTTCCTAAAAATGTACTAGGTGTTGAGCATTCCCGCCCCCCGCTGCTTCTCCCTTATTTTAAATGAAAATAATTTTTTCAGCCTATTTCCTTTTCTCAACCCAGCCTATCTTCTTACATACCTCTAAAATGTTCTTAAATTTATATAGTACTACAGAGCTCCAGCCTGGGAGCTGTCCCTGAGGTTTTCTGCTCTTGAGCCACACCCACTTCTGACTTTTTGGCCATTAATTGGAGATTGGAGTCTCAAGGACTTTCCTGCCAGGGCTAGCTTCAAATCTCAATCCGCAGATCTCAGCCTCCTGAGAAGCTAGGATTACAGGCATGAGCCACTAGGGCCTGGCATTAATCACATTTTAAATATCATTGCCGTGTTTGATTTGTCTGTTTTCTATCCAGGAGATTTTGCTCATAAACTTGGCCAGTAAATTTTTTTGTGCTTTTCCTTATAAAGTTTCAGTCTCATGAAAAGAGTTAGAGTTTCTTGTTTCTAGACCATTTATATAACTCTTAGATTTTTGCTAAAAGTAGACTGTAAACAGAACACAATTCAGAGAAGAAATCACCCAAGATTCTGCACATGCACACACATACCGGTCCTGGAGCTTAAACTCAGAGCCTGTGCACTGTTCCTGAGCTTTTCTGCTCAAGACTAGTACTCTGCCACTTGACAGAGCTCCACTTCGGGCTTTTTTGGTGGTTAATTGCATGTGGCTTATGGACTTTTTTCCTGCCCAGGCTGACATTGAACTGTAATCCTCAGACTTCAGCCTCCTGAGCTAGAATTGCAGCTATGAACCATCAGTAAATGGCCTTTATTTAGGATTCATTCTTTTAATTTTAATTTTTGCCAGTCCTGGGGCCAGAGGTCTGGCCCTGAGTGCTGGCCACAGTGCCACTTCTGACTTTTTCTGAGCAGATAGAGACAAGAATCTACAGACTTTCCTGCCTAGGCTGGCTTAGAACTGTGATCCTCAGATCTCAGCCTCCTCAGTAGCTAGTATTGCAGATGTGAGCCACCAGTACTCTGCTTGCTCAGGATTCTTAACAGTCATAGAGAAGCTGCTCTGGCTAGGATGTAGCTCAGTGGCAAGTACAGCATCCTGGGTTTGATTCCCTAGCAAGTGCAGCGTCCTGGGTTTGATTCCCAGTACGCCCCCCCCCCCCCCAAAAAAAAAATACAGTTAAAAAAAAAGCTGTATTCGCAAGAGTCAGCTAACCCCTCCACAAGCTCCCACTCAGTATGCAGTAAGAACTTGTCATGGTACTCCACTTGGCTCTGAGCATGAAGCATGGCTCCTGGGCCAGTGTCATCAAATCCAGCTAAGGCCATGCTGGGGATGGAAAGCAGAGGACTGAGCTCTTCATGGTGGTGTGCTGTAACTCTTCTCAGATGCTGGTCCCACCAAAGCCACTGCCAGAACTTTCTTTCTGTCACTGAGCTCTGATAAATGTCCATGGCATTTTGGGGGTCTGTGTTGCTAACACACTGCAGCAGCTGGCGTATGTCAGAACTGTCTCTCAGTCCGGGACACTGTGGTCTTGATGGCCTATGTGCATAAGGCCAGGTTTGAGCTGCTTACTCAGGACTTTGGGTTTGGGGGGGTTGGGTTGGGTTTGGGTTTTGGTGTGGTTGGTTGGTTGATTGGTCTTTAGACATGGTTTCATTCAGCGGCCTGAGCCAGCCTCAAACTTGGGATCCTCCTGCTGTCCATGTTCAGTTGGGGTGTGGGGATGTCCAAGACCGAATCCTTCCTGTCTCATCTGGTGTTGGCTCTTGGTTAGGACAACCCTGGACATCTTTGACTACATCTACATAGATGCCTTTGGGAAGGGCAAGCAGCTGACGGTGAAGGAGTGCGAGTACCTGATCGGCCAGCACGTGACCGCGGCGCTGTATGGCGTGGTGAACGTGAAGAAGGTGCTGCAGCGCATGGTGGGGAACCTGCTCAGCCTGGGCAAGCGGTAAGAGCGGGCCTGGGCGCCAGCGGTGCCTGTGCGTCTGGGAGAATTGGGGTCTTGGTAGCACTGGGATTTGAACTCGGGTGCTGTGCCTCTAGAGATGCTCCAGCAGCCTCAGTTCTTCATGAGCGTTCCTGTGACACCATAGAGCAGTCTGGGCACTGATGGCTGTCACTGCCCCGGGAAGGGGCTGGTCCTGTAGCCTTGTGCTCACGCCGTTTCCATGGCCTCAGCGCCTTTTCTCGGAGGCTTTTGCAACGGTCTTAGGTGAGCTCTCGGTAAACATCTGCGTGTGTGCCTACCTCATCTAAATAGGATTCTGACAGCTAAAGAGGATCTGCTTGTGATTTGCATAAGATGAAGAGAAGCATAGTATTCCCGGGGAAAGTTGTAGGTGTGTGTTACAGCAGTAGTTTTCTGCTTGGTATCCAATTTTTTTTTTTAATAGACTATTTTAGATTGCCAGCAAAAGTGCACAGAATGTAGAGTTCCCATATGTTCCTGTCCCTGTGCACACGTGACCTTCTCCAGTGTCATTGTCCCTCACCAGAGAAGACTTTGGTCATCAGGGCTGGTCCTCCATTCACCTGCCAGCATTGCCCCAGGCTGTAGGCGGCGTTGGGGTTCACTCTTCATGCTGTGTCTACTGTAGAGCCCCACAGAGCAGTCACTCTGCCCCTCACTCTCCCCCCCCACCCCTTTCTTACTGCAGTGTTACTGGAGCAGTGTCCCCTGAATAGTGAGGATTTCACTGAACACAAGGTTTCTGTGTATTATACATTTTGTTAAGAGCATTATAACTCTTTACAGAAAAGTGGGGGAAATGGCAGAGTCAGGAAAATACATTTGGAATTTGTTAGTTCCTTTCCAAAAAGGGGCTCCTGATTGCAAAGTGAACAGACAGGATGAGACAGATCTGCTCTTGTCCCTAGGGAGGGCATTGACCAGTCATACCAGCTGCTGCGGGACTCGCTGGACCTGTACCTAGCCATGTACCCTGACCAGGTGCAGCTGCTGCTCCTCCAGGCCAGACTCTACTTCCACCTGGGGATCTGGCCAGAGAAGGTAATTATTTTACTTTGATGCTTCTTCCTTGCCTTAGAGAGGAAAATTCTGATGGAAAGATGGCCATCCCAAATTAAGTCTTCCGGTCGTGACCCGCCAATGAAGTTCTTCTGTTCTAAGGAGCTTTGGTTCTCCTGTAGAACTTGGTGTCTCCTCTGTGGCGGGACACTGAGCTCTCAGGGCCACACCACCCCACTCTACCCCTCAAGGGATGCAGTCCTGCAGCGAGCAAGTAAAGTGACTCGGTAAAGCATTGGAGTCCAGCCGCCATGCTGTTCTTCTTGAGTGCTCCCTGTGGCCTAGGCACAAGCGCACATTGGCAAGCTATGGACCCGGACTCCTGGGCCCACTTGTGACCATGCCAGAGCTACCGTGCCACCCGCCCTGTCCTTGCTGCCCCCAGAAGTAGGTCTGTAACCGTGTTGTTTGTTAGCCAGCATGGAGAGGGATCAGCTCGAGTTCTCACTGGGGTGTTGCATGGACTCATGTGCAGTCCGTGCTTAGCCCCGCCCTCCTCCTGAGCATTTCAGTGGAGAGGACCCCTCCCACTTCCAAGACAGCCCCTTGTTGGAAAAAGAGAGAGAGCCCCCCCCAGTTGGCGCTCCCTCTTAACTGTCCCTGACTACACCGTGGCTGCCCGCCCCTGCCACGCATGTCCCTGAATGCGGGGTCTGCTCAGCCCTCCAGGCGCTGACTGCCCAGAAAGTCCATGGCCTCCATTGCTCATTCTTGTCACTGGGCCCAGAAAATGCTCTGCCTTCCTTATCTGGCCTCTGCACTGCCAGCTGCCCCAGCTGGTAACCCCCTTCCCTGTTCCCAGATCTCGGCTTCCTAGGTTTTTGCTCCATTCTTGGCCTGTATCCCCCTGCAAGGCTCTCTGCAGTGTGGGCTCTCCTGCCTGCACTCTACACTCTTCCCCTTCCCTTTCCCCTTTCCAGACAGGCCTCCCCTTTCCCCTCACTGCCATTCTCACCCAAGCGTGCATGGCTGCTGGGCCCTGGCTCCCCGGGCCTCCTCCAGAGCCGACGTGGGCGCAGCCGCCTGCTTGGCCCTTTCACTCTGCTCAAGTCATCTTGACAAACTGTCATACAAGTTCCCTCTCTGACCTCAGCTCCCTTAACATCCCTGCCCGGCACAGGCTCTTGCAATACAGTGTGACCCACGGGCCCTTGAGGTCCTCTGGACATGGAAAAGAAGACCTTACAACTGTCAGGCTTTGAATATGGGGACCTCTTGTTCTACTTGAGAAGGGGGTGTTGGGGAAAGGCCTGTGTGGGTTGGGAGGAGGTGTAAGGCGGGTATGGTGAACTCATTCTGACCTAGGGTTAGCCATGGTGCGCATGCTTTCTACAGCCTCAGCGTCTGCTCTCTGAGGCCCAGCGGTGACCCCGCCATGGGTAGAGGAGAGCCATGCATGCACCCTAAGGAAATGAAGGCCCTCTAGTGTCAATTTGTAAAACAAGGCTGGGTTTCCATGACAATGGCTTCTGTTGCATAGGACTAGTCCTAACTGAAGGCTCAGTTGTACTAGGAAATAGGGTGGTGAGTCATCATTTGATAAGTGAGGAAAACAATTCACAGTTAAAAACAGCTAGTTTCACAGATCTGGTCCTGGACTGGAGGTTGCCTTTGCCACTGAGCAAGCCTGTGATTTCAGGCGCAGGAAGGTGGAAGGACAGACTTGCCAGAGAACTACACGTGTGTGGGCATGCACTCACGCATATGTGTGGTAACCTGGCTCGGCGCTCATTTTTCTGTAGAGGCACGGTGAGCAGTTAGGGTGCTGGCGGTGGAGGCGGGCAGGCCTCCCGTCCCTAGGCTTCTTCAGTGACCTTTGCAGCTCTTATCAAAGTAGCTTAGGATTTTCTCCAGGCATGGGGGGCCTGTGCGGCAGCCCCCCTCGCTGGCCTCTGTCAGGTTACGTAGGTAGGTCTAGATCCCACACTGCGGAAAAGAAAAGGCCTGGCGAAAATATTATCTCCTAGTCTTTCTGTCTTGTCTTGAAGGTGCTTGACATCCTGCAGCACATCCAGACCCTGGACCCCGGGCAGCACGGGGCGGTGGGCTATCTGGTGCAGCATACACTCGAGCACATTGAGCGTAAAAAGGAGGAGGTAGGCGTGGAGGTTAAGCTGCGCTCCGATGAGAAGCACAGGGACGTCTGCTACTCCATTGGGCTCATTATGAAGCATAAGAGGTGAGTGCGCAGGTCGCAGAGCCTCCGGCCAGCTGGCACGTCACGGCAAGAGGACCCAGCTCGGAATCACGGCTGGCCATGTCTGGCCACTTGCTGCTGTGTGCCCAGCTCTGCGAGTCTGTCTCATGAGCCTAGGCTCTGTGCGCGTGAGCTGTCCTCCACACACACTGTCTGACATGGTGGTGCTCATCCCTGCCAGCAGACCTGGGGCCGAGTGCTGCTCTTCACACTGCACTACTGGCCAAGGCTTCTGTGCTGTGGTTCTCGCCTCTCTGGCCCTACACCAGTTCTCGGGTCTTTTCAGACACTTTGGCCATTCAGGTTTCTTGGTGGTTTCAAGTACTTGGAGATTTTCTGTTATTATTGCTCCCATTGATTAGCTATTCTTACCCTGAACACGAGTCCCTGTGGGAGGAAAAGTCAAAAGTGCCTCCTCTGCTGTGGCTCTGTGTGTCATCCTCTTAGTGTATTCTGGTGGTTGGTTTTTTGGTCATTTTTTTTTCCTTCAGTTTTATTATGGAAACTTATAAGCACTCTTACGAATAGAGCTGTGAGCATAATGAGCCAGGTGTGTCGTCATCAGCCAGCATCAGCAGTTAGCACACAGGCCAGCCTTCACTGCCCACCTCTGGTTCTGGTCCTCCCTGCTCAGTTGATGCCAGTACCAGCAGGCATGTCACTTTGCTTCTCTAAATGATAGGGAGCACGCACTCGTGTTCTCTCCCCCCCCCCCCCCCAACCCCTCCCTTTCCTCCTAGTTTATTCATCATTCTGTTAGCACATCTAACAAATCATCATTCTTTGGCTTCATCCACTCTCCAGCCAGAGCTCATCTTTCTGGCTGTCCTGCACGTGTGCTAGTTGGTTGTCATCAGGCTGCTTAGTCTTCATGCATTGTTGGTCCTGTCGCTGTGTAAGGTTCTGCACCGGCATCCAGGCTGTTGGCTGGATTGGTTTGGATGTGGCGGATCTGGCCAATGTCCTGATACCTTTTTACTTAGACAATTGGCTGGCCTGTCATTCTTTGCTGAGAACTTTGTTGATGATAGGAGTTGTTTAGTGAAGAGGGCAGGGGTGTCCTGAGTGGTGGGTCAACCCAGAACAGACAGGTGAATGTGGAAGATGTAGGCTGGAGAAGCCACACCATTTTCCCAGCAGATTCCCACAGTTGCTCTGATGGGCCAGGGAACTGACATGTGGTGTCTTCTGCCCACTAGGTACGGCTACAACTGTGTGATCTACGGCTGGGACCCCACCTGCATGATGGGGCATGAGTGGATCCGGAACATGAATGTGCACAGCCTGCCGCACGGCCACCACCAGCCCTTCTATAATGTGCTGGTGGAGGATGGTTCTTGTAGATACGCAGCCCAAGGTAAGGAGCTCCGCTGACCCTCCCCGACCCCTGGGCCTGTTTTCAGCACTCAGATGCCTTGGGCAGGGGCCACCAGTGTGTGCAGAGGTGGTGGTTGGGCATAGCTAACCTCAGGACTAAACTTGAGCGGGCATGCACTGGGGCAGCCACACACAGCAAGGACCCTATACCAAGATTGCTGTCATGCTGTGATCTGATTGGTCACTGCCTGTGCCAGTCAAATTCCACCCAGTTCTACCTCCTACACATGTGCCCTCTGGGCCCCTGTGACTTTGGCTGTGCCTTCCCACTGGTGCCCTCATGTGGTCGCTTGTGGGAACTGCAGCACACAGTGCTGACCTGAGTGCCCGTGTGATCTGTGTAGGTATTTAGTATGGCAAACTGAAGCAGGCAGGGTAGAGGCCAGAAGGCTTTCAGGGAATCAGCCTTTTTTTACTTAGGCCCTTGTTGAATTTCACTTGTGCTGAATTAACTGTGACATTAAGTCATTTGCTGGTTGTGGTGATGGTACTAGGAATCAAATCCAGGGCCATGTGAGCGCTCTCCCAGGCAGAGCAGCTTCACTCCACCATTGTCGGTCCTAACCATCAGCAGCTGCCCCTCAGGGGGACACACCACACAGTGAGACGAGTAGGAAGAGTGCAGAATGAGGGAGGCTCCGTGTGTCCAGGGACTTCAGACTAAGAGCACTGTCCAACAGTTGAAAGCGCAGCCAGGCACTGGTGGCTCACGCCTGTAACCCTAGCTACTCAGGAGGCTTAGATGTGAGGAGTGTGGTTTGAAGCCAGCCGAGGCAGTAAAGTCTATAAGAGTCTTATCTCTAATTAACCACCTAAACACCAGAAATGGAGCTTTGGCTCAAAGGGGTAGAGTGCTAACCTTGAGCAAAAAAAGAAAAAGGAAAAGGCTCAAGGCCCTGAGTTCAAGCCCCACAATCAACCCCCACAGTAAGGCAGTAAGCCTGCCTTTTCTTGGACTTACTACACCTGATTTTGGCAAATGTAGTCACATATAAAATCAAGGTATTCCAAAATCAAAAATGTTTAATTCCCACACATGAATTGCCCAGGTCGGCGGCTGTGGAGGCCGCTGGGGCCCTTCGTACCGCTAGTTGTATTCATCCAGTTTGGGATTTGCTCAGTGATTCTCTGCCTTGAATTTTGTGAAAAATCTGCCTCCCAAAAAGCACATGTGGGGCTGAGCACTGGCTCGTGCCTATGATTCTAGCTCCTCAGCGGGCTGGGACCAGAGAATCACAGCTCGGGACTACAAAAGTGGAGGTGTGACAGCGTTACCATTTGTTTCAGGTGTGGGCTATTTTATGTTCTTCAGTGCTGAATCACATGACCATTCCCTGCACTGCCGCAACCGCAGCCACACTTAACAAATCCCGGTGACTTCGGGTTTCTAGTGTGTCTTCTGAGCTTCTGTTGCCCTCAGGAGGAGCTCGGGGAGCCATTTGAAGGTCAGGGCCGCCGGCACTGGTGCTTCAGCCGGTCAAGTGTTTAGTGGCAGCTCCTCCCCATGACCAAGGGGACGTTTGTCGTGGCTGCCTGGTTGTCTTGGAGATGGTCTCAGCACGCTGCCTTGTTTTGTTGTGTGGTCTGTAAACTGGAAGTTAGACCCGCCACTCGATCACATCAGTGAATGTTCTGCTGTGATGTGTTTTGGGTTGCGTCTGTGCAGAGTCGCAGCCGCCATTTGGGGTGTGCCTCCCCCTGGGGACAGTTCCCGGCTCATCCCAGCACCCAGCATCCCTCCCGGGGGCGTTGCTGCTCAAGGCGGCCACATGGCACTGTTCTGCTCTGCTCTGCTCTGCTCTGCGAACTAGAGCGAGCCGCTGCCGCCCCGCCCCTCCCCACCGGAGTCCTGGGTTTCAGCTCAGTGTTGTGATGTCCTTTGAGACGATCTTGGCTCTTGTCAGCCCATATTTAGCCAGTGGCAGATGTTGAGAAGCTGAATTTTAAAACCCTAGGTATGGGTGGTCCATTTCTGGATTTATCCCATTGCCCTGAGTAAAACCCACTCGTAATGCAACACACACACACGCACGCACGCACACACACACGCACACACACGCATCTCTGGCAGTTTCCCTGGGCGCTGTGTCAGGCTCCACCCACCCGCATCTTGTGTTTCTAGCTGGCCCCCAGTAGGGGGCGTGCGTCGGTATGTGGTTGGCCACTAAGGGCCAGGCTGTGCCGTGGGGTGCACAGAGAGCAGGCAGGGGCGAACCTGGGAACACGTCCTATGGGGCTCTGCCTGGCCCAGCTCATTTCCAAGCAGGTGGTAAAGACTTGCTGGGCGTAGCTGGGGCGGGACACCGGGGCTGTGGCCAAGGAGGAGCCCCACAGCGCACTCACATCCCGCGGCGCCTGCGGAGGGGCCTCACTGTGCTTTCTCGCACTCCATCGGAACGTGTGGTTTTCTCTCGTTGGCAGAGGTGGGCAGTGCAGCCGCCGTGGGTGTGCTGCGTGCGGGGTGGGGTGCGCCTCCTCCCACTACCTCCTGGAGGCGTCCAGTCACCTGGGGGACCCCGCCGCTAGAAGCACGGCTGTGTGGAGGGCGCAGGAGCGGGTGTGCGCTCCCAGCTGCTGCCGGAGCAGAGGGATGGGTGTGTCCCCAGTTGATGAGTCCCAGGAAGATGCCCCCCATGGCCACCCCCACCTTTTCCTCTAGTCTCCCCAATACCCTAAGCCTCTTCAGTCTTTTCTCAAAAAGAGTGACCAGAGGGTCTCTGGGGAAAAGCTGCTGCGATAGAAACTGTGCTCTCGGGGCTGTGTGTGCCCCTTTGCCGATAGAAACTGTGCTCTTGGGGCTGTGTGTGCCCCTTTGCCGATAGAAACTGTGCTCTCGGGGCTGTGTGTGCCCCTTTGCCGATAGAAACTGTGCTCACAGGGCTGTGTGTGCCCCTTTGCCGATAGAAAACCTGGAGTACAATGTGGAGCCTCTGGAGATCTCACACCCTGACGTGGGGCGCTACTTCTCGGAGTTCACCGGCACACACTACATCCCCAACGCAGAGCTGGAGCTCCGCTACCCGGAAGACCTGGAGTTTGTGTACGAGACGGTGCAGAACATTTACAGTGCCAAGAAGGAGAGCATCGACGGCTAGTCCCAGGAGGCACTGCGCCTCGGCGCCCCCCAGGAGCCCCGATGGCCCCTCTGGACCCGGCCGCCGGAAGCCACTTGAGTAGCAGCGCAGCTGCGTGGCTCCGCGTGCGCCCTCCCCCCGCACAGGGACGAGGTCGTGCTCCGCTACACTAGTGAATGGACTGGAAGGCACTGTTGAGTGGCATGGCTTGTCTGCTCGTCCTGTGACCGTGTGTGACCTCACAGCCCGCCCCCCCACCCCGCCCCTTCTCCCTCCGTCTGTCTGCATTTGTCTCCCAGCGGGCCACCGGATAGATGGGTTTGCGCAGTGGGGTGATTCCCTCCTCCTCCGGGTGCAGTCCTGGTGGGGATCAAAGGCCTCTTCACCCTGCATTTGGCCGCACGCACCTCGCTCCGCGTGTGGTGGAGGGAGGCCATAGCAAGCCAGTGGCAGTTAGAATACTAGAAGTTACCTTCTGCTAATACACGAAACACAGACTGCAAGTGTTCATCTTTCGTTTTTTTAATTTAAATCGGGAAATGGCAGTTTTCCCTTCTATATTCCTTGGATTTATACACATTGCTATAAATCATGAGTTTTCTATTTTATTACATAATATTATTTGAGAAAATGCATAATAGCAGCCTTTATGAGTGGAGTTTTCCACATTCATCTATTCCTTCCTTCAGAATGACTGCTTGTTTCTAGAAATCTCCAGAATCACAAGTGGGTCATGGTTCCATGGTGGCTGGGTCCCTTCTCGTAGCGAGCCCAGCGCGTCCGGTGTTTAGTACCTGTGCTTTGGGTCTCCAAAGGTCTGCAGTGGGGCTTGCTTTTCAAGTCAGGAACTAATGATGCTTAGTTTTGAAAAGAGCACCCCACGCTCCACATTCCTCCATCCCCTCCTAGTCTTTCCCTGAACGCAGGGTAGAGAGGAGGAAGTCGGTGTCTTTCATTTGAAGAGGTGGGCTCGTGAGAACGAGGCCTGCTTGTCATGTCCCGCAAGGGGAAGCCGGAGGCCCACCCGGCGCGCTGTGCTTCTGCGCTCCACCCGAAGCGAGCTGGGTCCGCAGGAGCCGCCGCTGGCCGTGGTGCAGCTGCTCTGGAGAGCGAGACGCAGGGGCTGCGCCTCTGCACACCCCTTGCCATTTGCATGCAGTGTTCCCTGTGCTCGCCAGATGTGGGGGTCCACCTCAGACACGAGGGGCCGGTGCAGAAGTTAGCATCACTAGAGGGAGGCAGCCGTCCCAGCCCCACAGGTGAACCTGCTTCTGGAAACCCGTCCGCTCACAAGCCTGGCCTGCCGGGCGGCGGGGGCGCCGGTGCCCAGAACCGAGCGGAGCATGCTGAGCTAGAGCCGCCGCCGGTTCCTTTCTCCTTACCTGCCGCAGACCAGGAGACACGTCTGGCCGCCACTGACCGCTGTACATAATGTACCTAGACTTTTTAATGTGTTTCCTCATCAGCGCCTCGTTTGGCTCCCGGAAGCCACTCTCACCTGTGTAAGTTGGTATTTGGGCACTTTATATTTTTCTAAAAATGTGTTTTGGATCCTGTACTCTAATAAATCATAAGTTTCTTTTTAAAGATTTTTCCAAAAGTTTTCTCCATTTTCAAAAAGCCCTGTTAGAAAAGTAGAACTTTCTCAATGTTAAGGTATTAACTATTTGGATATAGTATCTTCTTTCTCTTCAAATGGATGCCAAGATTTTTTTTTTGTACAATGATTAATAAATGGAACTTACCCAGAGAAACCCCACCAACAGCCTGCCCCGTTTCATCTTGGAACTAAGTCTGGCCCGGTGACACAAAGGTGGCGTCGCGTCTCCTTGTGGGGTATGCGGAGTCCTCGGAGCATGCTCACGCTGCTGAGCTTCTGGTTCCTCTGGGCATGCTCAGGCTGCTGAGCTTCCGGTTCCTCTGGAGCAGAGGCTCCACGCTCTGACCTGCCAGGTGTGAAAATGAGGCGGAGCCAAGGGCAGTGGGCATGACTTATACCTGCCCAGCCACAGATGGACAAACGTGGGCAGGCCCAATCCTACATCCATGGCCCAAGCCTGTACCATCCTATCACAGCACCTAAGCCCAACTGCCCTGGCCTGGGGACCCCTGGCCTCTCAGGCCCCTTGTCTGCTTTAATCCTAATTGCAGTTAGGTGACACTAGACTCTGCAGCCTGTCACCTTAAAATCAAAATGCAGCTATTTGCGTCTTTTGTTTATTTTGTCTTGGTCTGTATAGATGGAAAGAGAGAATGTTTGCCTGGACAAGATGCAGAATTGAGGGCTGGGAAGGTGGCTCAGTGGTAGAGTGCTTGCCTTGCATGCATGAGGCCCTGGGTTTGATTCCTCAGTACCACATAAGCAGAAAAAGCTGGAAGTGGCGCTGTGGCTCAAGTGGTAGAGCTCCAGCCTTGGGTGGAAAAGCTCAGGGATAGCACCTGGGCCCTGAGTTCAAATCTCAGTACTGATACACACATACACATACAGCTTCATCTCACACACACACACACATAGCTTCATCCTGGGCCCTGAGTTCAAATCTCAGTACTGATACACACACAGACCCCAGCTTCATAGTGCTTCCTCTAAATCTGTCGTTAGTGCCTGGATGTCAGGCTCACCTGCAGCTGTCTGGATGGGAGATGTGTGCAGTGCCAGCATGGAGTGGGCCGGCTCACTGCCCCCCTCTTCTTTCCTGGGGTTCCCTGTTCTTTTGACTGGGGTCCCAGGGCTGTTCCCTTCATGCAGTGCTGTCCCTGCTGGCCTGCAACCCCAGGGCCACATCATGTGCCACCCCAACTCCCTGGCAGGAGCTAAGGCTTGAGTGTTCATCAGTCCCCGGGCACTGGATCTTGATTTCCGGGGAGGGAGCACTTCGGTACTGGAGCTTCCGCGGCCTGGTCTGCAGCCAGGTGCTGCCTGGCGCATCTACTCTGAGCCTCTGCCGCCATCCTGCTCAGCTCCTGTGGAGAAGGAGAAGGTGGGGCAGGCGGGAGTGGGGCTCTCCAGCTTTCTGGAGCCCCGGCCCCTCCATCAGGCATAGGCAGTCAATCCTGCTCAGGACTGGGGGGCCCCAAAGCCTTACTCTACTCACACAGTTTGCCCATAGCTGGGATTTTGCCTGGCACCTGTGTGGGCCTGGGGCAGGAGGGTGGGCTCAGACCGTCACAGCCCATCTTTAGATGCGTGACATGATCCGGCCAAGAGGGGAGAGGCAAGTCCTTCACCCCCACCACGTGGGGTCCCAGGGACACGGGAAGTCCACCTTTGCATATCCTTCCTCCTCTCTCTTCTCGCGAGAGGGGACCCAGAAGGGTTCAGGCCTGGCTGGAGCTGGCTGAAACCAGCTTGTGCAGTCAGCGACAGGGACAGCAGGCCTTGCGCACTGCTGAGTCAGCATGGCCAGCGCCCTGGGGCTCTGCGGCATGGCCTTTGCCTGGGCTGGCCCAAATGGCAGGGCTCGGCTTTGCCAAGTCGCAAATGATCACCTGCACAGCTTTGCACCTCACTGTGTTTATCATCGCGGGGGAGAAAAGGGAAGGGGGGATGGGCGCGGCTGCCCACCTCACCCCAGGCTGGGAGGTGCTGGACGCAGATCGGGGCTCAGGGATGGCCACTGTTCTCAGCCAGGATACCCCCCCACCCCCCGCCCCAGGACAAAGGCCAGATGGCTGAGGGACAGGAGGAGGGAAGGAACCAGGGTCCTACCTGGCCTGGCCTGCGCTGTGTGATCCTCTCTGCTCTGAGGGGGCGGGGGAACCGTTTCTGCGTGTGCCTGCGGCCAGTGAGCCACACCATCGAGGCCCACGGATGCTTTCGGCTCCTGCACTCCGTGGGCGCCACGTGCTCATGACGGGACCCTGGAGGGGTTGCTGACGAAGTCTCGGGTGAGCGCACCCCGCTCCCCTCATTTTCTTACGCTGAGGTTTGCATAGCCCAGAGTTCTTCCTTCCAGTCACGGGGGACAGGGAAAGGATCGCCACACGCACGTGCCCACACGCGTGGCAGCCCCCAGCTTCGGCTCTGGCAAGGCTTCTCTGGGTCTCAGTGCAGGGACTCGGGGTGGAAATGGTGGGACATCACTGGAGAGAAATCTCAGGCTCCACCAGGTGAATTTGACTTAGAATGTGTTAGCCAGCGGGCACCATGACTCACGCCTGTAATCCTAGCTACTTAGGAAGGAGGCTGAGTGAGCTCTGAGGATCACAGTTCAAAGCCAGCCTAGGCAGAAAAGTCCACAAGACTCTTATTTCCAAGCCCCCAGAAAACGAAATGGCGCTGTGGCTCAAAAGTGGGAGAGTGTTGCCTTGAGTGGAAAAAAAAAAAAAAATTGCCAGGCGCCGGTGGCTCACGCCTGTAATCCTAGCTACTCAGGAGGCTGAGAGCTGAGGATCTCGGTTCAAAACCAGCCTAGGCAGGAAGGTCCGTGAGACTCTTATCTCCAATAAACCACTAGAAAACCGGAAGTGGCGCTGTGGCTCAAGAGGTAGAGCGCTCACCTTGAGCTGAAGAGCTGAGGGACAGCGCCCAAGTCCCGAGTTCAAGCCCCATGACCAACCAAAAACAAAACAAAACCAAAAAAACTCAAGAACCTGAGTTCAAGCCCCACAACTGCCCCCCCCCCAAAAAAAAAAAGTCCAGCTGGCCATTCCTCTGAGAAAACCCACGGCAAGACAGGCAAATGGAAAACAGTTTCTAATTTTTTTTTTCCTGTTTTACCAGTCAGGTGACCTTTGGTGACAGATTTCTACAAGAAGCATCACAGGCTGGGGCTGGGGTCTGTACCTTGCTGTGTGAGCTCAAGCCTTCAGTGTGAGCACCGGCCCAGCCTTGGGCCCACGTCTCCAACTTGGGGGTGGGGGACAAGATGCTTAAAGAAACTAGGTGATGCCGGGCGCTGGTGGCTCACGCCTGTAATCCCAGCTATTTAGGAGGCTGAGATCTGAGGATTGTGGTTCAAAGCCAGCCCAGGCAGGAAAGTCTGTGAGACTCTTTATCTCCAATAAGCCACTCAGAAAACTTAGAAGTGGTGCTGTGGCTCAAGTGGTAGAGCGCTTGCCTTGAGCTGAGGAGCTGAGGGACAGCGCTCAGGCCCAGTTCAAGCTGACAAAAATAAATAAATAAACTGGGTGATCTCTGCTATGGAGACTTCAGCTGGCAGCATCCTATGTCTGTCCCTACGGTCCCTGCTGCAAAAGCAGTATGTAGAGAAGAGAGACTGTCACCAGCCAGGGAATGTGTGTCTCTCAATATGGCCTGCACAGGAACTCAGATCTCTGCATACACAAAGGCAGACGCAGTCCAAGAGGTTGTCACCTCCGGAATGGGGAAACAAAACAGGTGCTTCCACAGAGTGGAATATTATTCAGTCATACAAAGGAATGGTGAACCAGGTGCAGGGGGGCTCGTGCCTATAATCCTAGATACTGAAGAGGCTCAGAGCTGAGGATCACAGTTTGAAGCCAACCCAGGCAGGGAAGTCAGCAAGACTCGTATCTCCAATGAACCAGAAGGAAAAGAAAGAGAAATGAAGCTGTGACTCAAGTAATAGAGCTCTACCCTTGAGCAAAGAAGCTCAGGGGCAGCATCCAGGCCCTGAGTTCAAGCCCCAGGACTGGCACGAAAACAAAAAAGGCGGGAATGGCATACTTACACATGCTATCAAACACATGAACACTGGAAACATGCTATGTGGAAAATGTCAGATGTACAGACCATCACTTCTGTTTGAAATATTTCTATATGAAATTCTGAGAGCCAGTAGGTCCATAAACACAGGGGAGGCGGGGCCACAGGGGCTGGAGGAGGGTAGAATGATGACTAGAAATAGCCAAAATGCTCAAAGATGGACTGAGGGGATGGCTGCTCATTCCTAAATATACTGAAACCCTTGATGCGCGCACTTTAACTGGGAATTGGGTGAGTCCAATCACAACAAAAAATATTACAAGAATAAAAAAACCACATCCGGGCATCCTGAGCAGGAGCCTCTGGATGTACAAACTGGAGGATGTCCTTCCTTCAGAATAAGTCTGACCCTGGTGTCTTTTTGGCACCAGTACTGGGCTTGAACTCAAGGCCTGGGCACGGCCCTTTAGCTTTTTCACTCAAGGCTGGCGCTCTACCACTTGAGCCACACAAGCCCACGTCCAGCCTGCCCAAGCTGGCTTTGAACCATGATCCTCAGATCTCAGCCTCCTGGAGTAGCTGGGATTACAGGCGTGAGCTGCCGGCAGCCCTGAGGTCTTCCAAATGCAAACCTGGCCCCCATTCATTTTCTGTCGTTGCTGTAGCAAAGCACATCCAACGGACAGACTTAGAACAATACAAGTTTGGCATATTTATTGTATTACATGCTGTCTTTCTGCGATAATATTCTAATGACACTGGGCCACTCCCAGAGAGCTGGGTCACTGAGTCACAAGTTCCAGACTCCAGTCCGTGGATCTCTGGGGCTGTTTCTCTCTGACTGATGACACAAGATACTCTCCTCACATGTTAGCTGATGTGGACAAATGAATAATCAATACCCCGCCTGGAGCTCCTCCCGGGCTGCATCTGATGAGAAATCCCCTCCTCCTAAGGCCTTCTTCCAGTCCCCAACTTGGCCAACCCCACCCCCTCCACACCAAGCAGGGGACAAGTTAAAATAGATTTTGGGCCTGTGCCATCTTGTTCTGTTCCTCCACTAAGTTTGTTGCTCAGACAGCAATGCAGACTTGGAAATCCATCCAGCGACCAGCTTCTCTCTGCCTTGGGCAAGTTCCAGTAACTGGTCACTATTTATAATTATATAAATAATACAAAGCGTGCCCCGGCCACCCTCCCCAAAGAGCCTCCTGGGCCTCCGATGCTCAGTCAGGAGGCTGAGATCTGAGAACTGAGGTACAAAGCCAGTCTGGGCAGAAAAGTCTATGAGACTCTTACATCCGATGAACCACAGAAAAGCTGGAAGTGGAGCTGTGGCTCAAGTGGTAGAGTACCAACTTTGATTGAAAAAGCTATGAAACAGTGCCCATGTCCTGACTTCAAGCCCCAGGGCAGGCACAAAAGCAAAGGAGTGGGGGACTGGAGGCTTGAGCAACCTCTATTTGTCTCACTGGAGGGAGGACAGGGCAGGGCTAGCGGGAAGCCACCAGCTGGCAGTGACCAGGCCTGCAGATCTACCCCAGGCCTGTGGCAGTGGAGGGGCGGGACCAAGGCCATGTCACCTGTGCCCAATCAGATGCGGCTCTCCCGCCAGCTCTACAGGGAGGCCCAATCAGATGCGGCTCTCCCGCCAGCTCTACAGGGAGGCCCAGAGCAGCCAGGTGTCCAGCCTACGCCATGCAGGGAGTGCCGAGGATCCAGCCTAGGATCGCTTAGGCTGTGAGCTGGAAGGACAACCTAAGAGGGTCTGGTGGCTGCTGCCTGTCATCCCAGCTCTGAGGGAGGGGTAAATGGGAGGATCAGGGTCCAGGGCAGGGCTGGGGGTGGGGGCGGGGGAAATGATGAGAAGACTCAAGACGGTATTGGAAAATAAAGCAAGTGCAAGGGCCTAGCAAGTGTGAGGCCCTGAGTTCAAGCCTCGGTACTGACCGAACAATGAAACCAGCAAAAATCTAACACAAGATGCAAATTGGGAATGATACCTCCCTGATTCCAGCAACAACAAAACCAAGAAGCCAGGACGAAGCCTGACAGAGCAGACACGGTGGGAGACAGCAGTTAAACGACCTCGTGAAGGCCACGGGCGGAGGCCCCTGCAGGGTCTCCCTCCTCCATCCCCCCCCTTTCCCTCGCCTCCCCTCATCTTTACTTCCCCCCTTTCCTTTTTCTTTTTCCTTTCCCTTCCCTTTCCTTCTTTCCTTACAGAGTCTCACCATGGAATCCCAGGCCAGCCTGGAACTCTTGATCCTCCGGCTTGAGTCTCCAAGCACGGTGATTACAGGTGTGTGCTACCACGCCCAGCCTAGCTGCTCTCTGCGGAGGCCTCACTAATCACTGCTTGTTTGATGTGGCTGAGGCGTGGCCCTCCCCGAGCCCCAGCGAGCTGGCATTTGGAGCAGGTGCCCTGGGGATTAAATGTGGGGAGTCCCACACGCTCGCCAGGCAATGGATGGGAGGCAAAATGTACAAGTCTGTGTTCTCGTCCCGCTTTACCTAAAACCCTGGGCTTTCTCACCAATAGAGCAGTGCCCTGTGCCTCTCCCCCGGGCTCCTACAGGGCCCACTAAGGGGATCCTCCCAGACCCCTGGCCCCCGAGTTCAGGGACCCTGGCTCCCTGTGGCAGCCAGCTTCACAGCAGGACATCCAGGAATCCTGAGATTCACTGTTCCATCATTGGCAGCTTGGAAAACCCTGGGAACATTTACAGATCAGGATGCCCGTCCTCCCCCCGGCAGAGCTGGGGCAGCTCTTCACCATGTCGCCACTGGTGACTTTGGTGGTGGTGGTGGTTGTTACAGTTGTGCTGGGCCTGGAGGCTTGAACTCAGGGCCTAGATGCTGCCCTTGTGCTTTTGTGTCCAAAGCTAGTGCTCAACCACGAGAGCCACAGCTCCATTTCCAGCTTTTTCAGTCCATTGGAGATAAGAATCTCACAGACTTTCCTGCCTTGGCGAGTTTGGAACTGTGATCCTCCTATCTCAGCCTCTGGAGTAGCTGGGATTACAGGCATGAGTCACTGGCACCTGGCTACTCGCTCTTCACGTGAATTCTCACAGAGTCCTCAGAGCCACCCAGTGATGAAGGCACCATCACTTTGGCCATTTAAGACAGGGGCCGTGTCCCAGCATGGTGTCCCCCCGCGCCGTGCTGGCACGGTGGGAGTCGGGATTGAAGGCTCCGCTGCCTGGTACCCAGCTGGCAGCCAGGCCAGCAGCGCTAGCCGGAGACAAACACGCTTTCCCCGCTGCTGTTCATCAGCTCCTCGGGGGGTGGCGGCCGGTCCTTTGGGGACAGAGGCCGTTGCCTGGTGACTCACCGGTTTCCAATTCCAGGCAGGTCGCCCTGCTTGAGGAGAAGACAAAGCTCACCTGGGGGGCTCCCCCACCCCACGCCAGCCCCCCAATGCGGCGCGCCAGGCCCGGCCGCTGAGCTGCTGACGTCAGCAGGGCCAGTGGTGGGAGCTGCTGCGAGCCAAGCCGGCCCTGTGCGGAGGGAGCCCCGCCAGGCCTGGGCCTCATTGCCAGAGATGGAGGCCGGGCCGGGCCAGGGGGTCGCCGGAGGCGCCCACACAGCCCACAGATGTCCCTCCATGTGGCGTGTGGCTTTGATGTACTCCTTGGGGACTGTGGCTGAGGACAATCCCGGACTCCAGGGCAGCTCAGCTTCAGAGAGGACAAAGCTCTCTAGGGGCCATTCTGGTTGGAACATTCCAGATCTCTATAGGCCTCATGCCAGCCTTGTTTACCGCTCTCTGCTCCTACCAGGTGTGCGTGTGTGTGCGTGTGTGCGTGTGCGTGTGTGTGCGTGTGTGTGCGTGTGCGTGTGTGTGTGTGTGTGTGTGTGTGTGGCTGCTGGCCTCAGTCCCTAGACTCACAATGAATACACGAATGCGCATGTTACATCTGGGCTTCCCTACCTTCCTTGCTGCTCAGATCTTTCTGGTTCTTTCTCTCAGCCCTGCAGTTAGGAAAAGTTCTCCTCAGCCTTCCCATCTGGGCCTCCCTCTCTCCTGACTCCCGGTGGATACAGCAGCCAGAGACGGAGACCTTTCAAAGACCCCTCCGAGCCCCCCGGCGGAGGGAGAGCTGGGCCCAGGGAACAAAGCAAGGGCTGAGGAGGAGCGGCGGACTGCGGGTGTGGACCGGATGGTCCGTGTAGACGGATGGGATGCGGAGCACTGCGGCTCACTTCAGGCCGGCCTGCGCTTTCTGTTCACTTACTTTTCAAGAAGAGTTTGTGTTTTTGCCCAGATCCACCTCAGGTCTTGATCTCCCCAGCTATGGCCTGTTGTGTAGCAGGGATGACAAGGTGTGCCACTGAGCCCAGCTTGTTGATTGGTTGAGATGGGGTCTCTATAACTGTTTTGCTTGGTCTGACCTCCATCCTGCCCAAGTAGCAGGGATTACAGATGTGGCCACAGTGCCTGGTTGTCCAGGGCTTTTTTTTGTTGGTCATGGGGCCTGAACTCTGGGCCTGGGAGCTGTCCCTCAGATTTTCAGTTCAAGACAAGCGCTCTACCACTTGAGCCACAGCGCCACTTCCAGTTTTCTAGTGGTTTATTGGAGATAAGAGTCTCACAGATTTTCCTGCCCGGGCTGGCTTTGAACCGTGATCTTCAGATCTCAGCCTCCAGAGTAGCTAGGATTACAGGCGCCAGCCACCGGCGCCCTGCTCCAGGGCTTTTATCTCCAGTGCTGGCTCCAGCTCTGAGAGCAGTGTCCGGGGTGGGGTTCACTTCCCCAGTAGAAAGCCCCGACCCCGAAAGGCCGAATAAAACAACCCTGCCATCAACTGCTGTAGAAGGTGAACGTGAAATCCTTCCGGGTAGCGGTGGGTGTGGGCCGGCCCACAGGGTGCAGGTCTGTCTGGTTTGGGGGGATTCTTCTCACCCCAAATGCAGTTTCTGCCCCCCACCCCAGCCAGCCTTGGGGGGGGGGGGTGTCAGCGCCCCCAGGGACCTCACAATGCAGATTCCAGGTGCTGGCCCACCAGAGGCTCGGGGCCTCCCTGAGCCTGGGCCCAGGCCGGATGCTGGGTCACCCGCTCACCAGCGCCGACCAGAGGACAGGCCTGCCCCGCACTAAGTCTTGACTGACTCTGGGCCCCGGCCTGAGCCTTCTCTAACGGGGGTCGGATGCCAGGGGGCCGGTCCCGCCGGGACCAGGAGTCGGGGGCAGACAGGCGCGGGACTGGCCCAACCTTGCGCCAGCTGCCAGCTTAGTGTAGAAGCGGCCGGCCGCGGGCGTGCGGACCCCCGGGGGCGGCCAAGCCCGCAGCCCGAGCGCCCTGCCCTGCGTGGATGTCGCGCGTGGCCCGGGTCCCCGCGGGGGCCACTGGGGGCGTCAGCTCCAGGCGCAGCGGGCTGGGGGCGAGAGGTGGGATGCAGACGGGACGGGGTTACTGTAATGTCTCCGTGGGGCAGGGAGGGCCTGCTGGCCTCTGGGGGCGGGCGGGGCTGGACGGGCGGGGTCCGATGGCTGCTACCTGCACCCCAAATTCGCGCACCCTGTACATCTCGGCATTCTGGACAGGGGCGTGGGAGGGGCGGGGCCACGAGGGAGGGGGCGTGGGCTCTCAAGGCTCCTCCCACTCCTCGCCGGGCGGGGCTTGGAGGGGCAGGGGTGTGGCCACGACCGAGGAGGAACCGGGAGCCCCGCCCCCGGGCGGGGCTTGGAGAAGCGGAGGTGTGGCCACGACCGAGGGGAGCTGGGAGCCCCGCCCCTCACTGGGAGGGGAGGGCGGGGCGGGGCGTGAGTGGGCGGGGCCCGGGGCGGGGCCTCCAGCCCCTCCCCCGCCCTGCGCGGAGCCGGCCGGCGCTAGGACCGCGCCGCGCCGCCGCCGCCGCTATAAGAGGCCGCGCCGGGCCCCACGCGGAACCCGCGGCTCGCAGCGGTCCCGCACCCCGGACCCGCCCGCACGCCAGGCGGGAGCGGCCGCAGCACTGCGCAGCGCCGCCGGCCCGGGCCCGCCGCGCGCACCATGGGCGCTGCCCACTCGGCGTCGGAGGAGGTGCGGGAGCTCGAGGGCAAGACCGGCTGTGAGTACGGGCGGGGGCGCGGGGCCGCCCCGCAGCCGCCCCGCAGCCGCCCCGCGCGCCGTGACCTTGGCCCGGGCCGGCCGCGCTGCGCCTCGGTCCCCGCCTCCCGCATGGGTCCCCGCGGCGCGGGCCCCGCACGGAGGACGCGGCGCCCGGACGCCCCGCGCGCCTCCCGCACCGGCGGGGCGCGGGGGCCGCCACGGAAAGTTTTGAGGCGGCCGGCGCGGTGGGAGCGGGGCCCGGACCCCGCGGCTCCCGGGGGCCGGGCGGGGACCCCGCGCCCCCCGCCCCGCCCCGAGGCTGCGGGCCCGGACTCGGCCCGGGGAGCCGCGGAGGCCGCGCCCGCACCCCCGGCCGGCGCCCGCAGGGGGGCGGGTCCCCCTTCCCCGGGCCCCCGTGGCTGTGTGACCTTGGGCCGCTCGCTGTCCCTCTCTGAGCCGGCCTCGGCCGGCACCTGCCACGGAGACCCGGGAACGGGGTGTGGGGGCGGGGGGACCCGGCAAACCCTGGGGACGGGGGGACGGGGGGACGGGGGACCCGGCAAACCCTGAGGACGGGGGACCCGGCAAACCCTGGGGACGGGGGGCGGGGGGACCCGGCAAACCCTGAGGACGGGGGGCCCGGCAAACCCGCAGGACGGGGGGCCCGGCAAACCCGCAGGACGGGCGGGGTGAGGCGGCTCGCGGGCCCGAGTCCCGTCTCCCCGGGCGGGAGACCGAGTTCCCGCACGTGGGCTCCGTGGGGCGCAGGCGCCTCCAACTCGGGTCCGTTTCACGGGGCCGAGAACTTTCCCGAACTTGAAGGCGGGGGGGGGGTCGCGGCGGCTCCAGGGGGGTCCCCGCACCGTGGCGCTCGGGGGTCGCCGGCCGCGCCCGGAGCATGCTGGGAGCCGCCCCCAGCCTCCCTCCCACGGCGGCAGGTGCGGAGGGACCTGGGGCGGGGCTCACCGTGGAAGGGACGGCTCCGGCCTCGGGGGCTGCAGCGCCCCCGCGCCCCGTATGGTCCCCAGGGGGACACACAGGCGGCGCCCGTGGGCGTCTCAGCCCGGGAATGGGTGCGCGACAGAAGTCCGAGCAAAGAGCTGTGTGCATACCTGTGGCCTTTGGGCCCGGCGTGTCCCCCCCAGCATGCACTGAGCCCCCAGCATGCACAGAGCCCCCAGCATGCACAGAGCCCCCCCAGCATGCACTGAGCCCCCCAGCATGCACTGAGCCCCCCCAGCATGCACAGAGCCCCCAGCATGCACTGAGCCCCCCCAGCATGCACAGAGCCCCCCCAGCATGCACAGAGCCCCCCAGCATGCATAGAGCCCCCAGCATGCATAGAGCCCCTCCAGCATGCATAGAGCCCCTCCAGCATGCATAGAGCCCCCCAGCATGCACTGAGCCCCCCCAGCATGCACAGAGCCCCCCAGCATGCATAGAGCCCCCAGCATGCACAGAGCCCCCCAGCGTGCACAGAGCCCCCCAGCGTGCACAGAGCCCCCCAGCATGCACCGAGCCCCCCAGCATGCACAGAGCCCTCCCAGCATGCACAGAGCCCCTCCAGCATGCATAGAGCCCCCAGCATGCATAGAGCCCCTCCCAGCATACATAGAGCCCCCCAGCATGCACAGAGCCCCCAGCATGCATAGAGCCCCTCCCAGCATACATAGAGCCCCCCAGCATGCACAGAGCCCCCCAGCATGCACAGAGCCCCCAGCATGCACAGAGCCCCCAGCATGCATAGAGCCCCTCCAGCATGCATAGAGCCCCCCAGCATGCATAGAGCCCCCAGCATGCACAGAGCCCCCCCAGCATGCACAGAGCCCCCAGCATGCACTGAGCCCCCCCAGCATGCACTGAGCCCCCAGCATGCACAGAGCCCCCAGCATGCATAGAGCCCCCCCAGCATGCACAGAGCCCCCCAGCATGCATAGAGCCCCCCCCAGCATGCACAGAGCCCCCCAGCATACACAGAGTCCCCCAGCATGCACCGACGAGCCCCCCCACAGCATGCACAGATGAGCCCCCCCACAGCATGCACTGACGAGCCCCCCACAGCATGCACCGATGAGCCCCCACCGCATGCAGGCCTCATGACAGGACAGGGGCAGCGGAGATGAGCAGATGGCAGGAGAACTTGGGGCCCAGGCTGTGGCGGGAGCCTGGCATCGCTGTCCTGCGTGGGCTCTCCTCTGGAACAAGGCCTTTCTGAGCTCTGAGCCTCAGTCTCCCCCACTGTGAAGTGGGCACAGCAGTGGTTTCACCCTTGCAGTTGTTGGCAGGGAGTGTGTGCATGCGTGTGTGCATGCTTCTATTACCAACCATGCTTCAGACATCCAGAGCCACGATTAAGAGTTAAGTCTTGGTCCTTGCTGTTCCCAACGGTGTGATCTTGAGCAAGTCATTTCACCTCTCATCCTGGGGCCTGAGTAGTGCATGGAAAGTTCTGGAATCTAAGGCTGTGCCTGTGAGTGCCCTTGGGGAGCACTCCAGGCAGGGGTGAGGGTGGAGGGGAGGCAGGGGGCTGTCTGCACCCTGCTTGCAGGTGCTGCCCTTACGTTCTTGGCATGCACTGAATCTTTGTCCAAATCCTCCAGGCAAAGTGGTAATGTTTTACAGGAGGGGAAACTGAGGCTGAGAGAGGTAGAGAAACTTGCCTGTTTTGCACAGCTGGGATGGGGAGGAGAAGGGGTTGAGGGCAGAGCCCCAAACTCCACTGCCCCCATTGTCCTTCCATATTTTTTATGCCAGTCTGGAGTTTGAACTCAGGACCTGGGCGCTGTCCCTGAGCTTTTTCCCTAAGGCGCAGGCTCTGCACGGGAGCCACAGCTCCACCTGGCCTTCTTTGTGGTTAATGGGAGATAAGCATCTCATACACTTTCCTGTCTGGGTTAGCTTCGAACCCTGATCCTCCAATCTCAGCCTCGTGGGTAGCTAGGGTTGTCTCTGGGATGTCCAGAAATTGGGCATAGGCGTAGGAAAAACCTGACCCGTGCTGCTTCTCACCGCAGGGCCTTTGCTTGAGCCTTTCCTCCCGCCTGGAGCTGCATTTTAGTTTGCACAGCTTCTGTAGGAGATGCAGATTCCAAGACCCATGCCCTTCCCTGTCAGGGATTTTCCTAGCTGTCACCCCTTCCAGAACACGGGGCCTGGCTGCCCTCCACCCAGCCTCCCTCCCGGCCTAGCCAGCGCCACACCACCTGGCAATTGTCAGCCCTGTCGCCGCCTGTCCCCACCCCCAACCCGGAGTGAAGAGGCTCCGAGGGAGGGGCACCCAAGGAGCGACAGGGCCCAGTGCCCCCCCATCTTCATTTAATGGAAAGCGTGGGACAGCAGCCCCTGCCCAACACCCCCCCTTCCCTCCGAACTCGCTGGGTCTCTCTGCTTCAGGCACCCCACCAAAAATAGGCCCGAGCTGGAGTTCTGGCTCACCCACACAGGGCAGTGTCAGCGCCGCTCGCCCACCTCCTCCCTGCCTGCCGCGTGCGCTGATTGATTGCCAACACAAACAAGCAGCCCTACCTGCTGGCTAAGAGAAGCCCGGAGGGGGGCTCCCTGGGGTGCCCGGGGGAGGGGGCTGTGGTGGCCCCAGCCTGCCCTTTCCCAGAGGAGACAGCTGGCCAGAGTGCGCCAGAGAGGGAGGGAGGGCTCTGTGGGGGGACCAGGTGTGCCTGAGAGGCGATCTCTCTGCCCCCACCCCCTTCCCTGCCACTCCTGGAGGAGCCTGGGGAAGATGGAGCTTCTGTTTTCTCTTCTGTCTCCGCGGCAGCTCCCCCGCCCTGTCACTCTCCATTGCCAAGAACCTGCCAGAAGGAAGCAGGCGAAACCGATCTGCAGAGCAGGAGCTCAGATCTCCCGATGACCAGCGCCTCGTTCATCGAGGCCGCTCCCAGCTGCCCTCGGCCACGCCCACCGCCCTCGACCACGCCCACCCGCCCTTGGCTCCGCCCCAGGCCTCCCAGGACACATGTCAGTGGCCCATGGTACAGATGAGCAAGTGGAGGCTCCAGAGACAGAGTGGCCGCCCAGAGCCCTCTGTCCCCTCCCTGTGAAGCGTGGAGGCCAGCAGGGCCCTGGAGGAAGGTGGGCGCCGGGCAGGGGCCCTGCTGAGCTGCCCTGCCGCGCCCCGCCCTCGCTGGGCTGCCATCTCCCCCTTGGAGAAAGTCACTGTGCTCCTCCCCCTGAGAACCGTTGAGAGGCCAGCTCTTGGCTGTTACCAACTTACAGATGAGGACACGGAGGCCCAGGCCCGCAGAGCCGCCGTTCCAGTCACTGAGATGCAGAGTTCAAAATCCAAACCCAAAGCCAGGCATCAGGCTACCCCCGAGGATGAGATCTGAGGAGCGTGGTTCCAAACCAGCCCAGGCAGCAGAGTCTGTGAGACTCGTCTCCAGTTAGCCAGGAAACAAAGCGAACAAAAGCTGGGAGTGGAGCCGAGGCTCAAGTGGTAGAGTGCTGTAGCCTTGAGCAAGCGGGTTCTCAGGGACACACACACACACACACACTCTCTCTCTCTCTCTCTCTCTCCAGCTCTTCTGCTGGGTTACTGGGTGCCCAGAGAGATCCTGTCCCACCGCCCAGACCCCATGGGCTGGGACCAGGGGCTCCAACCTGCAGCTCTTAGCAGCTGAGGGTGATAACTGTTACCCCAAGAATCTCTTTAGCACTTGTGCACACGTGTGTACTCAGTTCCAAGGGTAGAATCGGGCCTGGAGGTGGACAGCATTGGATCTGGAGGACACAGAAGCTTCTAGAATGTGTGAGTTCCGTGGTGAGCCGAGCAGGGGCTGCTTGGGAGGAAGAGGCGGGCCCTCGCGTGGGAGACGTGGTTTCAGGGCGCATCGCCTCGGTGTGCACGGGAACGGCCCTGCGCGTGGGCAGGGGTGGTGAGAGCCCCTGGTGTGTGTGTGTCGTCTGTCCATCTGTCCGTCCCTCCTCTCCCTCCCTGGGGTGGTCAGAGCACCTCCCTCGGGCTGACACACAATGCCTTGTGCAGAGCATTTCAGAATCTGGTAC